GAAATGAACTCAGTTGAACCAGTTTCTGTGCTCCCTGCCTAGTTGCATTGGTGCATGACAAGTTTACAGCCCTAGAGCACTGGACGGGAGGGAAGGGGTCTGAGTCACTTTCAGGGAGGTAGTGTTACAGCCCAGAGGGAAGTTACCAGTTGGAATCTTTGCACCCCATCCCTCCACATTCCAAGAAGAATGCCTAGTCACTATGCTCCTGTTCCAGGAAGTCATAAGGAAATACAGCAATTAGAGCAATTTGTAACCCTGGGTGTTACTGCTGCTCCTGCAACAAGCTCCACATGGGTGGGCCAGACCCACGGGTACCCTAACCATGGCTTCAGCTTAACAACAGACAGTTGCACCACTGTAGTCTGGCTGCTACCGAGACCAAGCCAGTTGGCCAGCTGTCTTCACCCAGCCCTCTGAGGACCAGTAGTTAGGAACACTTCATCCTGGGAGGCTGAGGCAGGAGGATGACGAGTTTGAGCCCTGCCCAGGAAACTTAGCAAGACACTATCTCAAATTAAAAAATAAAAAAGGGCTGGGGGTGTAGCTGATGCAAAGGTCCCGGGTTCAATCTCCAGTACTGCAAAAGGAATAAAAGGGATTGGGGGAGGAAAGAAACACCTGCCTACCTTTCAAGGATGAGTAGATCTGGCTTTAAGTTTGTGGGTGCTCTCAGAAGCTACCTGTCTGTTTATGGCTTCCTTTCCATGGCAGAGCCCATTTAGAAGTGGCCATTGTCTTACAGTGGTTGCAGTCCAGTCCGGCACTCACTGGGTGTCCTGCAGAGTCTGTGAGCAGCTGTCAGGAAAGTGGGGTTGCTTATTCCACTCTTACAAGTGAAACAGAAGAAAACCAAATCGTCACAAACAGAAGGATAAAACAAATACTTCTGTTGCCTTGAAAGGTTAAGATATAGAGAGTGAAAGACAGTGATTTCTAAGAACTAAAACAACACAAAATCATAAAGAGAAAGGTGAATAATACCTAACTATGAGAAATCTTTATACATTAGGCCTCTAGAAGAACTAAGAGGCAAATAAGAAACCAGGAAAAGTGGCAAAAGCTGTTAACCTTAGACTATGGAGAGTTTTTACAAAACGATAAAAGAAAGGTGAGGAACTAGTACAGCCATAATCAGAGTTTTTACAAAACAGTAAGAAAAAGATGAGGAACCAGTACAGATACCAACAAGGCACAGGAACAGGCAAAAATTAATAAACTATGAAGAAATCAATAAATGTTTATTGCTAGGGCTGGAGATATAGCTCAGTGGCACAGTGCTGACCTGGCAGTCGCAAGGTCCTGAGTTCAATCTCTGCTCTCCCCCACGCAAATGTATTACTAATAAAAAGTGAAAGTTAAACACAGTTTTTTCTCCTATCAAATTGGCCAAAATTTAAAAAAAAAATACATTTTGCTATCAAGGGTGAGTTAAAATCACTTTTAAAAAAATTGGGATATAATTCATTCTTTTTGGCTTCAGTGGACTTTTGTATTTTCATGAGGTTATACAGTTATCATCACCGTCTAATTTCAGTGCATTTTTTCCTGACAAAAGTCCCAGCCCTGTTAGCAGTAATACATTCTCTCCTTCCCCTGACTGTTGGCCCAGCTGTGAATCTCCTTTTGTCCCCATGGCTTTGCTCATTCTGAATGTTTCATCTAAAGGAAATCATATACGTGGCATTTTTGTATCTGTACATTTGGGTTGTTTTTACTTTGGGACTGTTAATGAACATTGTTTCATGTTCATTTATGCACAATTTTTTGTGCATGTGAACAGATGTTTCAAATTTTCTTGAGTATATACTTGTACATGGACTTATTGGGTTGTGTGGTAACTACATGATTAATGTCTTGAAGAACTGAACACTGTTTTTCACTGTGGTTACACCATTTAGAATTCCCACCAGAAATGTAGGAGGGCTTCAATTTTTCTCAATCGCTGCCAGCACTTGTCTGCATTTTTGATTATAGATATGGCGGCCAGTGTGAAGTGGTCTCTTAGATTTTGGCTTGCATGTCCCTAATGAGTGTTGAACAAAGTCATTTCATGTGGGTTTGGCTGTCTATTCAAGTCCTTTGTCCATCTTTAATTGGGTTGTTTTTAACTACTGAATTGTAAGTATCCTTTATATATTGTGGGTACTAAATCCTTATCAGATAGATATATGATTTTAAAATCTTATTCTGTGTATATTTTCTTTCTTTCTTTATTTTTTTGGGTGATTTTTGAGATAGGGTCTTGCTCCATAATTCAGACTGGTCTTGAGCTCAGGATCCTCCTGCCTCAGCCTCCCAAGTACTGGAATTACTGGCATGCATCACTTCTTTTTACTTTCTTAACAATATGATTTGCAAAAATTTTTAAATTAATTGATTAATTCAAGATAGTAGGAATTGAACCTAAGGGCTCTCTACCACTGAGTTACATCCTCATCCCTTATGTTTTATTGTGAGACAGTGTCTTGCTAAGTCACTGAGTGGACCAAGTAAGGGCCTGCAATTCTCCTGTCTCAGCCTTTCCTAGTGCCAGGATCACAGGCACGTGTGCCACCATGCCTGCCCAAAAAAGTTTTAGCTATGATGGAGTGCAATTTTTTCTTTTGTCTTTTTTTGATGTCATATCTAAAAATCCATTGTTAAATCCAAGATTGTGAAGGTTTATTCCTATATTTCTTCTAAGATTTTTTGTGTTTTAGATGTTCTGTTAAAGTCATTGATCCATATTTTTCCTGTTGAGGAATTTCATATCTGTGTCTAGTTTTCTGAGTACTTTTATCATGAAAGGATATTGGATTTTGCTAAATGCTTTTTTAGCAATAATTGTGATGATCATGTAGTATTTTCCCCCTTTGTTTTGTTAATATGATATAGTGGCATTAACTTCCTACTTTTGAATTACATTTAAATTCATGAGATAAATCCCACTTGGTCATGGTATGTGATCTTTTTAATACGTTGTTGAATCAAGCTTGCTAGTATCTTATTGTAGATTATTATTATTTTTGTATCTAGCAGCTACTCCAGTATGCCACCCAAGCTCACACCATTGACTGTTCCTCTTTTGAATATTTGCTATTGTCCATTTCTTTCTTGCCAATATATTCCTGCTTTCTGAAGTGGTACATCTACCTGTTTTTTCTCTCTAGGCATTTTTCTATCTCCATTGGAGATTCTTTCTCTGTTCACTCTACAAGTATTATTATTTCTTAGGGACCCTTTGGAGGCTCTGGTGATCCCATTCCAAACTCTGAGGATCCTTTATATGTTGGCAGCTTCCAAGTCACTGTCTCTGAAAAAGGTCACTCCTCTGCTGTATGTATGGCTTTCTGGACAGCCCCTCTACATTGTCCCATGGCTAGAACCATACGCAACAAGACACAGGTTTTCCTTGTTTGGGCCTTTATTTACCACTTCTTCTCCTTTTCCTTCTCCTCCTTCTCCTCCTTCTCCTCCTTCTCATTCTCCTCCTTCTTCTCTTCCTTCCTCTTCCTCTTCCTTTTTTTCTTCTTCTTCTAGATGGAGTCTCATTATGTAGTTCAGGCTGGCCTTGAGCTCATTATGTATCCCAGGCTGGTCTCCAGTTCACTGTGCTCCTCCTGTCTCTGCCTCCTGCCTCCCAAGTGCTGGGATTACAGGCTTGTGACACCAGCTGTTTACTTTCCGAGGACTACCTGCCTAGTCTAGGAGTATTTCAATTTTTAATTCAAGTCCCAGTCATGCTCGTTTCTAGCTCTGTTTTTAGGTCTTAGCTTTTTCCTTGCATCTCTCTTGCCTCTTTTTAAAGTGGGAAAGCTGGTACTTGGAACCGGGATTAATGCTGATGTGTATGAGGGTCTTGCGGGTTGATGCAGTGGCTGCAGACCTGTGCTTTCCATGAGCCCTGGAATAGCAGACACCAGTGAACCTGGAGCCTTGCTCTAACCATCGCACTGGGCCCATCTGGGATTTATTTCTATAATGAAATATTTTTATTGTTTTAATAATTGGTTGGTGAACCAGATGTTAGGCTGCTATATTAAAAACTTTTAATTAATGTGTCTTCATACACAGCACTTGTCGTAAGATGATCAATCATCCACTGATTTTCACTTACATAACTGTGGGGGTTTTTTTGTTTTTTTGTCTTTTTGAGACAGGGTCTCTTTGCGCCGTTCAGGCTGGCCTTGAGCTTGCTTTGTAGCCTAGGTTGGTCTCGAACTTGCAACGATCCTCCTGCCTCAACCTCTGGAGTCCTGGGATTACAGGCGTGAATTACCACATCTGGCTATAACTGTGGTTTTTTATCCCTCAAATCTTGGCCACACTATTCATGAAGGAGAAAGAAACTTGATAAAAGAGACAACTCGGTATTTATGTGCTTTTTAACAGTGCCTTGAAATGATTGGTTTGTTTTAAATATCCATGACACCAGTGAAATATTTAAAAACGGTACATTTAGCTATTAGTTATTAAAGTTATTATACGTGAAAATTTTCAGTCAGATTCAAGGGAAATTTTAGTTTCAATAATGCTTCGGAATGGAAAATTCACTGTATTTAAGGCTCCCTTATTTAAGTTTAACAACGATAGTCTATTTCATGTGACTCGTCTGTTAAGATCATTTAGAAATGGCTTAAAAAATCATTTGACTTCTGCGTTCACAGGATTTTTTTTCTCTCGCAACTCTTTAAAGTGCGGAAATTGTCCATCGGCAGTGGGTGCCAGGCATGAGTCCATAGAGTTCTAGTAACTTCATTCATTCATTCATTCATTCATTCATTCATTCATTCATTCATTCACCATTCATTCCTGCGTCCGGAGCACAAGCAGGGTGGGTGCAGCAAAGGCTCCCGAGCTGCCGGGTTTTCACCCTCCAGCCCTCGAGCGTTTAAAGAGTTAAAAGTTGGGGCCGGAGCCGGGCCCTGTGTCCGCAGGAAGCGCCGGGGGCCGGGGCCGGGCACCTCGCGGCTCCGCCCGTCCCGTGGTGCCGACGCCGGCCCGCTCTCTCCCCGCAGCGGCCGCGCGCGCCATGGGCAACACGGCCAGGAAGGCGAGCGGCCGGGCGGAGCGCGGAGGCCGGCCGGGCGGGGCCCAGCGGCGGCCCACGGCCCCCGCCGTGCGGGGCCAAGCGGGGAGCTCCGGGGACCCCGCGGCCGCCGCCAACCCCGCCGCCCCCGCCGACCCCGCCGGCCTGAAGAACCAGGGCAACGCGCTGTTCCGCGGAGGGCAGTTCGGCGAGGCGGCGCGCAGCTACTCGGCGGCGATCGGGCGGCTGGAGCCTGCAGGTAGGGGGCGCCGCGCGGGCCGGGCCGGGCCGGGGTGGGGTGGCCACAGGGTCCCCCCGGGTGCGAGCGGGCGCGGTGCAGATCTGGGCGAGCCCCGCCGCGACCTCTGCAGGACGGGCGGGACAGGGCCGCAGCGTCGCCGAGCCCGCGAGCATCCTGCAGTTCTGTCCAAATGTGATTTTGCTAATGGATTTTAACTGTATTTCATATCATGTGATTTTAGGAAGTGAAAGTGCGGGTGAGCTAAGTATCTTATATTCAAACAGAGCAGCGTGTTACCTAAAAGAAGGAAACTGCAGCGGCTGCATTCAAGATTGTAACAGGTAAAAGAACATTTACTTTTGTACTTTGTCAAGTATAGTTTGGCCAAGATCTTGTTGCTGTCAGTGTTTGTAACCGTCCTGCTTTTTTGCATAAGACTCTAACCTCTTAAAACCGTGTTAAGCTCAATGGGTTGACTAATGCACGAAAATCATTCTTTACTCTCATGTATGAAGACAGGGAAAGCCGTGCACACTTTATTTCGCCTCTGCCCCCAGCCTGATTCACCCCTTGACTGCTGCAGAAGCTCAGCAACTGGCGGCAGACGGTGCTGCCTCAGAGAACTCCTGAAGCAGCCTGGTGCTCGAGTTGTTTCTGAGCGGGACTTTGAGCTCATCTAGCCAGTGACGAACTTCTCTGTCTCCCCACCTGCCTGCCTCAGCTTTGTGCCCATACTTGGGCGTGGACCATTTCCGCTCACCACCTCCTTGGCTGGAGGAGGGTGATGCCTTGGGTTCCTCTTTGCTTCTTAAATCCCCGGTCCCCGCCTCCTGATCACGAGCCGATCTCTAACACCTGGTACTGCCACTTGGTCATCTCTGTAGCTCCTTATGGCTTTAAACTCCTTGGGCTCAGGAACCATGTCTCACAGAGCTTTGGCCCCTTTGAAGCACGGTGGTAACTCAGCGAGTAACCCACCAGGATGGCTAAATACACAGTTTTCTTTTACCATCAGGTAATGAGCCTGCTTCAGAAGCCCTTTGGCAAGAAGTTATTACTTACCTAGCTTGAAAAAAATGTCTTGTTCTAGTTTGACTAACACAGTCTTGGTTTATTCCTGTTAACTTGTATAAATTAGTAACTGTCACCCCTTTTCAGTCTCAGAAGCTCTACTTTGGACTAATAAATCATGTGGGCACTGTTTACAAGGTTGACCAGCTTACTGTTTCTTTCATTGGCATTATCAGTTTACTGATATGAGTAAAATTTGCTAGTCTTTGTGCCTACAGTTTAGAAAAAAGACCTTGAAGCACTTGGATTCCCCCCCCCCAATTTTATATATTCACATTTAACATAAATTATATTTTGGCCTGACCCATCCTGTCTCACATCAGCTAATTGTTGTATTTTCAGGATTCTGTGGACTGGATGAGTCAGATTGGTACAGAGATGACAGAGAACCCCCAAATAACCCAAATAATATAATGGAAATATAACTCCCAACCTGCTAGCCTGCTAGATGTCAGATACACTGAGTTCACCTTCTCTAAAATTGAAGAATGAATTCTAGGAACAGCAGAGGTTAAGAGCTGAGAATATTTATTTAGGAAAAGAAAGCTTCTGTCCAAGAGGGACAGAAAGGAGTCCTGAGTGGATGGCCCAGGGGACCTTGCTTCTCAAGGGTGTTCTACAGAGCAAAACTAGGAGGTGAGGTGGGTTCAAAGCACAACAAAAGTATGATCAGCTAGTAAGATTACAAGTGTAGTTGCTTGGGTGATATTGACCCAACGCGAAATCACAAGGTAGGTATGAGATGGGACAAAACAGTGGTCAACCAATAAGATTACAAGTTCAGTCATTTAGGTAATATTGATTAAATGGGGGTCTAATGGAGAAGCAAGTCACGTAGCAAGTGTACATAGACCAAAGGGGACTTTCCTCTACCCAAGGCAATGGACACCTACTTAGAATATCAATCACTGCTGTTCATCGGGGACCTAGGGGAAGTATGTAGGTGTAGTCATTCCATCTTTTGGGATGTGCCTCCTCCTACAGCTAAAATGTTTCTACACTGACTCTACTGAGAGCCTGGCTCTGTCTGCCTGTGATATGTTGCCTATGACATGGATTTTTACTATTATACTAATAGCCTGAAATCTACCATGTTGCCCTTGTAGATACCATGAAAACTGACAAATGCCAGGAATGTCGGGTTTTTTTCTTTCTTTTCCCACCAAACCTAGAACATGCCTGTAAGTAACTGACAAGACGTGTGCATTTGTTAGATTCCAGGCACCGCGTGACTCACAGCTGACACCCTCTCAACTCGTGTTTGTTTCTAGTACACCACCTTCAGATTGGTCTCGGGCCTTCCTAGAGTGAGCAAAACCAGGATTCTTTACTTAAAGCTTGAGACCCCTGAAGTGAGAGCTGCTGGAAAACAGTGGATTCTCTCCATTCTTTGTCGAGATTGTTGAAGGTGGCATGAGTTCGATGGCAGCATAAATCTACGCCTGCCTGAATGATGTAGTGAGTGAGATCCTATATTGGAGATGGGAGTCCAGTCACGGTGTCCAGGGAGGCTAGCATGGCAGCTAGCTTTGTTAGAGGTGGGCTCTGGGGAGAGGGTGGGCGCCCCTTGTTTAGGTGTGGCATCCTTAAGGGAGCGGTGCATTCTAGCCAAGGAATCCGGCTCTGCTGGTGAGTGCTGATCTCCTTAGAGGCCGACCTACTTAGATGCTTTTTTGATAGCTGGAGCGCAAGTCCCGGCAGGAGGGGCATGGAGATAGTGCCCAGTGAGAGGTGGTTTTCCTCCAAAACTGATTCTCCAACCTGGCTCAATGCCTGAGAAGCCAGGACGCATCTTGGTGAGGTGTTGAAAAGCAGACACATTTACATCTCTATGAAGCAGGAATCCTTCATTAGCAGCCAGTGTGACTATCATTTTACCTTCCAAAGACTACATGTTTTAGGAAATTTCTTCGTGAGCTTTTCAGTTAATTATCTTCGCTGTTTAAAGAGCTCTATGAGCTCTCTTTACTGGACAGGTGGGACCCTGCCTGAGACACTGAAAAAGGAAAACTTACATGGGCAAAATTTAAAATAAGGGCATGGAGAAAAACAGCCTGTGAAGTGACTTGTTTTATGTACGCTGGGAAAGCCTTCCATCTGAATTGTAAATGTCTATACTTGTTCTCAGGGTTTCCCAAGTGCCTTCTTCCTGGAGTCCTGGGGAACCCCTGGCCCTGTTTTTATCCTCACAGTCGTGCATGTTTCTGTGTTCAGCCTCCGGGAGAGACAGGCAAAGAGCTCATTAAGGCTAACAAAAGTTTGAGAACCACTGTCCTAGAGATTTTTTATTCTCATAATTGTTTTAAGAGCTTCAAAAATGTTTTTCCCATTTTTCAGAGAACATTTTGGGTTATCTAAACCACCCCAAGAACCTTTCAGTGGTTTTCCACTGGAGATATTTTGAGAGACTAAATCAAATGAATGTTGTCTAGCGATCCTCTGCTGTTGCTTATCTTTAAAAGATTTGAGATTAGGAGACTCCCCAGGGTCTTAATTTTATTAACTTGAATAGACAACTCTGACTTAAAAGTTCTGTGTGCTTGGTATGTGAATGGGTTTTTTTTTTTGCATTAGTAGAATTTTCATTTATAAGCTCACATTTTATTTTCAGGATTGCAGTTAAAGGGCAAAAAAATCACCTTGCATTTATTATACTATAAAATACTAAAAATTAAAAGCCTCATGTATTAGTTTTCAATCCTAGGCTTCGTTTAGGAGTATCTTGATTGACTGAATGTTCCCCGGAGCACTGGAGGTCTGCATGCTTGTGAGAGGGACACGTTCATTGTTTAGATTTCAGACGGTAGGACGGGCCACGGTCCTGGATGCCCGAGGATCTGCTGTCTAGTGCTTCAGTGGTTTTACTTCATTTTAATTTTATTTTCAAATGATGTTTACTGATTACAAAAGTAAGACAAACCTACTACAGAAAACAAAACACACAGTGCAGCTCAAAGATGATCATTAAAATCACTCACATTCAGAGCACTGGGCCGGTGTGATTTGGTTATTTTTCAGAGAAATGAAGCCAATAGCAGTTGGTTTAATGGCTGTCCTAGAATACTTTCTCTGAGACTGATTCTAGGTAGGCTTCTGAAAGGGCAGTTGAGGAACTGTTTGCTGTGGAAAGTCGTGAGGGAGTCCAAGTGGAAGGTGACTCGGTTCCTTCATGGGTAGCACATGTGTGCATGTCTGCACATATGTGTGCATCTGTGTGTGGGTGCGTGTGTGCATGGATGTGTGTTAGGAAGAGTACAGCTGCAAGGGTTCTGTTTGGAGGTGTTTGCTGAGCTGCTCATGGCAAGGCGTCGCCTCAGGACTGGGCATGGGTCTAGTGGCATTCAGGACAGGCAGTGCGCTTGCCTTCTTGCAGCTGGTTCCCAAAAGAACTGACGCAAGAACACATCACTCCGTGTGTCCCTCAGTTTCCTCGCCTGCCTAGGGAACACTCTAATGTTTACCTTACAGGTTTGTTGAGAAGAGAAATTCTGCAGGGCCCGGCGTGCAGCAGGCACTCTGTAAGCTTTCTCCTTGCCAGGTCAGTGGAGGCAAATGGAGACAGCAGATTTTTAAGAGTATTGCAAAGTAAAGTTAAAGCAGCCCTCACTCTTGCTGTCCTGGAGGCAGGTTTAGTATTCGGTATATGAACTGCTTATAGCGCAAGAGTTGGCACAAAGTACACATTTGGTGTCCGCAGTGTGGAGCATCTGGTAGAGGTTGTATCAGGCACAGGCTCTTTGTGAGATCCCAGCATTCCAGAGCCTATGCTGGGATCCGTGGAACATGGAGCTGAAGGCCTTCGTCGCTTTACATGATTATTTTTATTTTTGTTTGTTTGTTTTCTGAGACAAGATTTCTCCGTGTAGCTCAGGCTGGCCTTGAATTAATTGTGTAGCCCAGGCTGGCCTCAGACTCACAGCAATCCTCTGCCTCAGCCTCCTGAGTACTGGGATTACAGGTGTGCACCCCCATGCCTGGCTCGATTCACATGATTAAAACCAAGGGTTCAATCATTTTCATTCATAGGGATAGTCTGAGTGTATATTTTATTTCAGAATATAGGGAAGTATGTTAAGTATTAGACTAGCTTTAAATAGTTACTGCGAATAAAACCAAAGAATGCAACCTTGAAATGCATCTTTAGTAATGTTGGAAACACTTTTTAGACTAGAAAATACAGGATAGAGCCAGGGATATAGCTCAGCAGCATAGCGCCTGACTGGCAACCCAGTCATGAATTCAATTCCTGGTACAAAAACAAAATGCATGATGAAAATTTGTGATTTACAAGACATTATAAAATTTTTAGTTCCTTGACTTTATCTGGTCTGTTTTGAACACATCTTTGCAGTAAGTCAATCATAATGAACTGTAGGAAGTTTGAGAGAGTGGATTCTGAAAATACAGTGCAAGTTTTTGTGGTTCTGTACTAAGCTACCTTATTAAATACATAGATGGGTAAGAATATCCTTTTAATCTGTCAGTAATGTGAATCTGTTGAGTGTCTGCTGGGTGCCTCTGGGCTTGCCCTTCTGGTGTTTTTCCAGGCTCCCAGGATAAAATAGCAGATTATGTACATATTTGAGAGTCCCACTGCTGCAGTATATATTCAGTTATGTATAATTTTCAGAGTAAGTGACATGTGGTGTTTCTGCCTTCTCAGAGCCCTGGAACTCCATCCATTCTCCATGAAACCTCTTCTGCGACGAGCCATGGCCTATGAGACTTTAGAGCAGTATGGCAAGGCTTACGTGGATTATAAGACCGTGTTGCAAATAGACTCTGGACTCCAGCTAGCAAATGACAGTGTTAACAGGTAATCTAGTCTCGGACGGCCAGCTAAGCGCTAGCTGTTCTGTAATGGAAGCGTGTTCTTTCCCCTTCTCCTGCCTTCCAGAACAAAATGTCAGAGTGTAAACATGTTCTTGGTTATGTACTTTCCAGGAATGATTGCCGTCTTCCACTCCATCAAACCAAATGCCTCTCTCTAGCTTAATTTCTAACTATTTCTTCAGAAATTTTGAGTTAATTTATTTCTTTTAAATTTTATTTTAGAGAGCCTTCAGAAATTTTGAGTTGTCCTCTAGCACCCTTATGTTTGTTTCTTGGATCATTTATTACTGAGCAGTAAAAAAACCTTTTTTTTCCTTTGGTACCAGGATTGAACTCACGACCTTACACTTGCCACGCAGGCACTTACCCACTGAGCTAAATCACACCCCCCCCCCCAAATTTTTTTTAATGACACAAAGAACAGCTCACAGGGCTGCATCAGTACCTATGGTGTTAGGAAGGTGGTTTTACTGGGTCATAAATCAGTACTAACTCTAGGACAAAGTCCATGAGAGCAGCGAGCAGCTCACAGGAATCTTCTGCCAGGACAGCAGGGCAGGGGTTTATGGGCACCACCTCCGTGAGCGGGAGTCAGTGTCTCTGCTGCTGGCCCGGGGTTGGAGGTCTTGATCACCCTGCTCGGTGCTAGGTTCCCTTGTAAATAGCCACTGACTCAAAGGAGTATTAGTCTTTGGATGTGAAGCATCAAAGCGTTTGGGTCTCATTCACATCATGATCTGCTTCATTCCCCTCATGATCTACTCCAAGGGTATGAGAAGGGAAGCATGCTAAGACCTCAGAGTTGGGGTAGCATTTGGGAGGCCCAGGGCTCCATACCCAGCACCCCCACTGCTCCCAGAAACATAATCTCCAGACTTCATAAATTGATTTCAGGTGACATTTGAAAATTATGAGTTGGATGATGCTTCTGGTTCTGTGTAATACCCTGGAATCCAATTCACCCGACCGGCGCTTGTGTGTGCACTGCACCCCGTGCTGGCCTGTTAGCCTGTGCCCTTCTCCCCCTGGAAACGGCAAGAGGAGAAACGTGATCTGGTCTCTGTCAGTCAGCAAACCGCAATATGGTGAGGAGGGAAAGTTACATAAGACAGATGATTCCCAGGAAAGACCGTCCGTTAGGCAGTCAGGCGGAGGCATGCCACTCTATGGCAGCAAGAGTGCTTCAGGTGATGCAGGAATGGGACAGGGAGGGCGTCAGACCGCGAGGAAAACTGCAGAGGATGAGAATGCACGTTCTGCATTTATTCACTTTCTGAAACAGGCCCTGCCTTCCCGTGTGGCCCCAGCCCACTCCGGAGGAAACCATTGTGAAGGCTGGACGCAGAGCTGACACCCGGTCCCTGGAGCTTGCCTTTGGTGGCTCCTGGAACTTGTCTGATGCCAGTCTGATAAGAAGAAAGTGATATGCCTATATCTTCATAGGTGGCACATTTTTAATTCATGAAAATCTGAAGTCCAAAATGTTCCAAAGTCTGAAACATTTAGAATGCTACCTGGCTGGGTGTAGTGGTGCATGCCTGTAACCCTGCTCTAGGGAGGCTGAGACAGGAGGAGCGCTGTGAGTTCAAGACCAACCTGAACTACAGAGTGAGACCCTGTCAAACCCCTTGCCCTCAAAGTGCCTACCTGAAACTACAAGTAAAAACTTTCACACCTGAGCTCATGGCATAGTCAAAATGCAGTGCGCTGAGCCAAGCATGGTAGCACACACCTATAATCCCCGCACTGTGGGAGGCTCAGGACGGGGATTGCAGATTGAAGCCTGGGATGTTTATCAACTTGGTCAGACTCTCTCTCAAAATAAAAAATAAGGGCAGGGGATGTTGTTCACTGCAAAAGTCCTGGGTTTAATCTCCTAGTGTACCTAGAGGTACACTAAAAACACTGTATAAAACTACATTCAGGCTATGTGTACAAGCTGTTTATGAAACTTTAATGAATTGGATTTAGACTGGAGTCCTGGCCCCATGGCATTGTGTTACATCTATTATATATGCAAGTATTTTAAAATTCTTTGGGAAAAAAATCCAAAATCCACAGTACTTCCGGTCTCCAAGCAGTGTGAGTGGGAGAATCTCGGCTTGTACTGGTTGCTCCTGGCAGCGTGGAACAAGATGCATCCTCAGGCCTCTGGAGCTCCTTGGTCAGGCTTCGATCTGCCTGGTGTTTCCCTGTGTCGGAAGGCTCTGTCCTTGCTGGCTCTGTTTGGCTCCATCTCATCCTTTAGGAGAGAACCTGCTTCCTGCAGGAAATGCCTTTGCCTGACACCCCTTAGGTTCCCATTCCCAGTGCCCCATAACACTGAGCGCCTTTCGCCACCCACCCGGATTGGGTGCCCCTTTTCTATGACTCTTTTTTGTGAACTTCTTGTCCTGACACTGTACTAGGAGCTCCTTAAGGTCAAGATGTAGATGGAAGAAACAATTTCTTGGTCAGAAGATTTAGTGAAACATCAGGTGGGGAGATTCCTGAGGCATCTGATGTAGAGGAAGGGCTGATACATTTCAGAGCCACGTGTAGTGGTGCCTGTTTGGGATTCCAGCACGCTCGGAGGCTGAGGCAGGAGGACGGTAATTTTAAGCTCAATCAGGGCAACTTAGTGAGACTGTGTCTCAAAATAAAAAACAAAGAGTTGCAGATGTGGCCTGGGGTGGTGGTGGGAGGACCAGTACCTGGAAATCAAAAGAGACATTTCAAGTGGCAGATTGAATCAGTAATTGACTGATGGGTGGAGGGAGAAATACGTCAGAGAGACTGTGACTGCTTTTTCTCAATTTTTTGCATTATACTTTGATTTTGGTAAGTAAGATAAAACTCAGGATGTAAAGTTAGCTATCTTACAGCCGCAGCCGAGCACACTCAGTGTTGGGCAGCTTCCGCTTCCTTCTGGTTTGGGGCATTTCTTCACCCAGGAAGGGAACCCGTGCCTATCGAGCAGCCTTTCCCTTCTCCCCGCCCGCCCCTGCCAACGGCCAGTCTGCCTTCTGTCTTCTGTGGATTTATCTATTTTGGGCATTTCCTTTAAATAGAAAATCATGCGCTGTGTGACTTTCTGTGTTTGGCTTCTGACACAGCATGCCATTCTCAGGGTTCAATCGTGGTCTCGCAGAGACCAGCACCGCATTTTTTTGTTTTTGTGGTTAAATAATAACCAGTGGATCTCATTTCTCCCTTCCCCACTTAGCAGGGATGGCCATTTGGGTGGTTTCTATCTGGCAGCTCTTGTGAATTGAGCTGCTCTGAACGTTCACGGCTAAGTTTTCGATTTCACTTCCTTTCTGTATGTGCACGCGAGTGGGACTGCTGGGCTATGCGGAGATTTTATATGTAACTTTCTGAGGTTTGTATTCTGTTTTGTGTGTGTACCCAAAAGGGTTGTTTTCAGATCAGTTGAGTCCCAGTTATTTTTTAACTGAACGGCTCTTGTTGACACATTGTTTTATGAAACATGAAGAGACCTTATCTGGTTTTGCCATTTAAAGAAAATATAAAATACTTCTCTTTAACATCATATCATTCTTTTTGTGAGTCCCACATTTATGCTTCCATCTATTTCAGTTCATTGTGCAAAATTATCAGCACCTTACCATTTTTTTTAAAAATTTAAGCATTGGGCTTATTTTGTTTCTGTCTTCCATCAACCTTATTCCTCTCTAGGAATCTTTTTTTTAAATTTAATTTAATTTTTTTTTATTGGTACCAGGGATCGAACTCACGACCGCCTGTTTGCAAGGCAGGTGCTTATGCCGCTGAGCTAAATCCCCAGCCCCTTCTCTAGGAATCTTAACATGTTACATTTTCCTGCATAATTCATTTCTTCCCTGGTTACATGTCACCTCTTTCCAGCTGCTTTTTCCTTTCTTCCTCTCTGCGACCAATATAAATTTTGCTTAAAAATTCTTTTTTCAAAAGCTTTTAATTTTCTTCTGCAATTGTGGATGGTTATACATTAATTTTCAAATTTTTTTACAATAAAATAATGAGACTGAGTTATCATCACCAAAGATCACTATTGAAATTTCAGTTGAAGGTAATGTATCTCAGACAAAGAATTTTTTAAAAAATTCTTGTTAGCAAATATTCTTTGACTACTTATTAGAGTCCAGATGCTATGTTAAAGATCTTAAATTCCAAGATAGACTATTTAATTCTGTATTCTGATATATCAGAGAAATGATTTTAAGCAAAGCATTGAAAACTGGAATGCATATAGCCTACATTTTTTTTTTTTTTAATTTGTACTGGGATCAAACTCAGGACCTTGTGCTTGCCAGGCAGGCACTTGTGCCATTGAGCTAAATCCCCAGCCCCTGAACTTTCAGTCTAAGAAACCAAAGGGAAGTATATGTGTTATAATTGTCTATGTATAAGTCTAAATGTTTTTCACAGGAAACATACATAGAGCCACAAGATTAACTAACTAAGATATATTCTGTTAATTACCAGTAAAGTGTCTCAGTCATGGGAAGTCCCTTTGTTAAAAAACAGATTAAGAACCGCCCCCCCCCCCAAATGTAGATTCATCCCAAAGGCATAATTAGGCTGGCCTTGGGCTCACTTTGTAGCCCAGGCTGGTCTCGAACTTGCAAATGATTCACCTGCCTCAGCCTCCTGCGTGCTGGGATTACAGGAGTGCACCATCACACCCAGCTTCTATGTCATTTTTTCAAAAATTAAAATTCTGTTGTGTATATACTAAAAAAAATTAAATGAATATAAAATGTCTTGATTTTTTTTCTTTTGATTAGAACATAGTTTAGCCAGGTGCAGCGGTAGATGCCTGTAATCCAGGCTACTTGGGAGACTGAGGCAGGAGGATTTAGCATTCAAGGCTAGTCAGGGTCCCATCTCAATTGAAAAAAGAAAGAAAATGTTCTGAAGTTATAGCACTAGTGGCAACTTTTAAAGGTCCTTTTGAAAAGCATTTTAGTTTAGGGCCAGGCATGGTGGCACAGGCCTGTAATCCGAGCATTTGGGAGGCAGAGGCGGGGGATTGCCTTGAGTTTGAGGCCAGCCTTAGCTACAAAGTGAGTTCAAGGTCAGCCTGAGCTGCATAGTGAAACTGTTTTAAAAAGACCAAAAATAAAGAAAGAAAGAAAGAAAGAAAGAAAGAAAGAAATAAGGCATTTTTGTTCTTGTGAAGAGAAAGTAGTTTCTACAGGGAAGCACACGGGGGTATGGTGTTTGTCAGGCTTACTATTGATCTGGCTTTCACTGATTTAAAAGCCAATTGCAGATTGATAGAGGAAACTCCTTTTCTTTTTAGACTAACAAGAATCTTGATGGAGCTGGATGGACCAAGTTGGCGGGAGAAGCTGTCACCCATTCCTGTGGTGCCCACCTCAGAGCCACTGAGAGCATGGTGTCCCGGGTCACAGGCCACCCCCAACCACAGAGACTCTGGTAGCCTCGCCTCAGCCAGCATCTCAGGTTTTGGGGAGCTTGTGTTCTTTCCTCCTGCAGGGTGTCTTGGTCCCTGTGTTTATTTCCACAGTAAAGCACAAAGAGAGATCCTGAACTGTGGCATCAGTGATTAGGGTCTTTTTCTCTCTCTCCTTAACTTCTTGCTCTTAGGAAGTTGCTTTAAAACTGGGCAGGGAGGTACATTGTTGAAATCCAGCACTCAGGAGGCTGAGGCAGGAAGATTGCAGTGAGTTCAAGGCCAGCCTGCACTACACAGTGAAACCTGTCTCCAAAGAGAAAAGATTTTAAAAATCGCTTTACAGCTCTCATGTTCTAAAGTACAGGAAAGGAGATCCTGATAGCTGTCTCAGGAGGTGATTCTCAGGAATAAAGGGAGGGTTGCCTGTACAATACTTGGTTCATGTGTTAACTGTGTAAATAAATGTTGTTAGCAATATCACTAAGAAGAAAAAGAATTAAGCTCTTGAGTAGACCATAGCCTAGAGAAATGTTGGAAGGGAAATGTGAATAAAAACAGGATGCCTGGGGCACTAGGTAGATGCTCACTTTAGGCTTTAAAAGGTCGTTTTGACATTAGTCACGAAATAATTGTCGAGCTGAATACTAAAGCTATTTGTATTTATGTTTCAAAGACTGAATCCACCATCCCTGCAGCTCAGTGAAAGGTTTGAAGCACAGTACTGTTGTCAAAGCACTACCTGAGGCAGTGGATTGGGTTAGAGAAAATGCTTTGAGGTGTCTCTCACACCAGCCGCTTGGGAGGCTGGAGGAGGACAGGAAGTTTCAGGCCAGCCAGGCAACTTAGTAGGGTCCTAGCAAAATGGGGCAGAGAGGTAGCTCAGTGGTAGATGTTTGCCTAGAATATGCAGGGTCCTGGGTTCAATGCCCACCAGTACTGCTAAAAAATAAATAAGTGAAAAAATAGGGGCTGGGAATTTAGCTCAGTGGCATAAGCGCCTGCCTTGCAAGCATACAGTCCTGAATTCGATCCCTGGTACAAAATAAAATAAAATAAAATAAAATAAAATAAAATGCAGTGGTTTAGGTGCTTTTCCTGAGCAGCAGGGAGTATTTGAAATTGTGACTCTTGTCATGTGGTCACCTGTGTCTGTTGTCCTTGGTTGGCTTGATTCTCTTCCTCTCTCAAATAGTTCTGGCCTCTGTTAAAATCTCCAGAGTTCTGGAGAAAAACAGGCATGTCAGTATGGATAACACTGCAGAATTGTTTGTATTGTACTTTATAATTTGAAAATAAGGGTTTCATAATAATATATTTTTACTTTGGCCAGTTTGTCTTTGCAATTTGTTTAAAAATTGTCTATTTAGACCAGCATGCTGTGTGACCAAATTAATTTATAGCTGTACTTAAAGATAGAAGTGCTAATATGAATATTTCCTCCTTTTTTAAAAATTTTATCCCATAGATGAAGAAATGTTGAAAGCCCTTAAGGAAGAAGGAAACCAATATGTAAAGGACAAAAACTATCAAGATGCTCTTAGTAAATACACCGAGTGCTTAAAGATTAACAGTGAGGAGTGTGGCATATACACAAATCGGCAAGTGCTTCGTAATTTTATAGACTTCTTTTTAAAGTAATAATTTTAAAATAAGTTAATTCCTTAATTAATGTAATTAATTGACAAAAGTGAATTATTTGCCAAAATGTTGCATCATGGTCATAGGCATGTGTGTGACAAGTTGTCCTCAGGAGTGACCCTGAGAGAGGGTTGTGGAGACCTGCAGTGTGGCAGGGCAGGGCAAGGTCGGCTGTCTGTGTCACCAGGTCCCTGTGTGCTAGAATGGTGTCTGGGGAGTAGCGCCCCCTTCTTCTGGAAAGCTGAGGGAAGGGACCAGCATCTTCCATGCATGTGGCAGGAACAGGTGGATGGTTCTAGAACCCTGCCTCAGAGCCATCTTTATCATATGTGGTCATGATGCCACTCTGGCTGGCTGTTGTGGTGCACAGCTATACTCCCAGCACTGGAGAGGCTGAAGCAGGAGGATTGCTGCAAGTTTGAGGCCAGCCTGTGCTATGTAGTGTGTTCAAGGCCAGCCTGACCTATATAGAAAAACCTGTCTCAAAAAAATTTATTTTTTCTTTTTGTGATCTCCTCCCCCGCCAAAGCACTGTAGAATGTGGGGTGACAGGAGGAATAAAGATAGTTTCCACTCTGTTAACTTTTTGCCAAAACCTGAGCGGAACAGCTGTTTCCTGGATGGCTGCTTGGTTTTCCGAGGCCCCCTTCTCCCAGCAGCAGCAGCAGGGCCTGCATTTTGTTTGCATTTCTGTCCCCACTGTGGTCCCTCACCGCAAGACAGCAACACCCTAGGGGTCAAACTCAGGTTTCCGTTGGAAACTGCGGTGGAGAAGCAGACTGGGCCGTTTTGTCTGGTGTTCACAGCTGCCCACCTTCGCTCTCTTCACCCCTCCTAACACTACGCTCCCTTGTGCTACGCCAGAGCTCTGTGCTACCTGAAGCTGCGCCAGTTCGAAGCGGCTAAGCAGGACTGCGACCGCGCGCTCCGGCTGGACAGCGACGATCTGAGCGCTCGCTACCGGCGCGCGCTGGCGCACAAGGGGCTGCAGGTGAGCGCGCGGGTTCCCACCGGACAGGGCGCAGCTGCCGCGACCTGAGTCTCGGGGTCAGGAGTGGGAGTGGGGTTGCCCGAGGTTTGATCCTCGGAACTGCAGCACCAGGGCTAAGACCCCCGCCTGGGGCTCACACTGCAGCCCTGAGATGAGGGTGGGGGTGGGTTCTGACCTTCCTTCCAGTTTAAAAGCCTTGATGTTCTGCTGTTTTAAGGAGGATTGTCGCTTACCATAAGGTCACTTTTAAGGGAAGACTTTGTCACTGAGTGTCTGACAGCCACCAGCAACGTGGCAGAGACTGGGGTTGGCACCAGGAGGAGGCGCCTGAGTGGCAGGTGGGCCCCTCTGGGGATGGGGGTGGAGATGTCAGATTTGGAAGCTTGCGACTGAGCCCTTGAGCTGGCAGTCGCTCAGTGTGAGATGACAGAATGGCGTTGTTCTCTCTGAAAACCACACTTTAGTTTGAAAGAAACAATGTTGTGGGGGCTGGGGATTTAGCTCAGCGGCATAAGCCCCTGCCTTGTAAGCAGGTAGTTGTGAGTTCGATCCCTGGTACCGATAAAAAAAAAAGACAAAGGCGGAAAAAAAAAAAAAAAAAGAAAAGAAAAAGAAACGGTGTTGTACACTTCTCCTTAGTAGATTCTTCTGCGTGGAGACCTTAACACACGAGTATTTCTGTTTTCTTTTTTCTTTTTTTTTTTTTGGTACTGGGGATCGAACTCACAACTCCATGCTTGCAAGGTAGGTGCTTATGCCGCTGAGTTAAATCCCCAGCCCAACGCATGAGTATTTCTGTATGAAGAAAATAACGCTACCAGGAAAAACAGAAAAAAGTAGAGAATGCATTTCCTGAACTTTTTTTTTTTTTTTTGTCTTTTTCATTTTTATCGGTACCAAGGATCCAGCTCACGACCGCCTGCTTGCAAGGCAGGTGCTTATGCCACTGAGCTAAATCCCCAGGCCCACCTGAAATATTTTTTAAAAATCGAATGTGATTCACAGAAAAATCCGAGTCACATAGATTGACTGTTGATTAAATGTTTTTCCTCCTTGTCTCCACCATATTAATCAAGATATAGAACATTTAGCTGTCTTTAGATAGTACCCCATGTCCCTCTGTCGTCTGCTTGTCACCCTTTCCCCGTCTGTCCATCTCTCTGTCTATTTCTCAGCCGCCTATCTATTGTTGGAGGGGGGCTGAGCCCCGAGAGCACTCACCTACACCCCTACTCCTTTTGCAGTTTTCTTTTGAGGCAGCCCCTTGCGAAGCTGCTCACACTGGACTTGAATTTGTGCTTCTCCTGCTTCATCCTCCTGGGTAGCTGAGACTGTGGGTGTGTACCATCACACTGGCTCCATTAATCTAACTTTTATCACGGGATGTTTTGCTTCTTTTTAACATAAATGTGCAGTTCTGAGTTTTCCTGGGGAGTCACCGGCTTGTGTGTCTGGAATTGTTTTCTGAACTCTGAGCGGGATGAATGAAGTCTGCTTATGTACTCGCTAGCTGATGATGCCTCGTTTCCTGCTCTGGGCTGCTGTGAACAGAGCTACTGTGACACTCTGAGGCTTTGAATTATGGGCTTTGGGGAGGGGAGATGGTTCTTTTCGTTGCTTGCCCATCACTGAGTGGGAAATGTCTAGTTCTGTTGGAAGGGAGCTGCCGTATCATGGCATCGTAGACCAGGTGGGAACCATCTGAAGAGCTAATGGATTTGGGTAAATGATAGATTTGCACGACTCATGCATTTATACAGTATCCAGACTCTGGTACCACCTGTCTCTTTGAATCTGTTCAGCTACCTAAAGGTTAGAAGCTTTATTTAGCACTGGAAGGACTGGAATTTTATACTTAGAATAAATTCTAGAGATTCTATTATGATGCAGACAGAGAATTGAAAGTTTGAGTAGTCCTATCTTACTAGATTATGAGGCTGGTAGCTTGTTTTTCAGGTTTGACTTTAAAAGGCTTATCTGTCTAGGACATTGTGGTATGCGCCAAGTGAGTTTAGTTTCGGGATCTTCAGAGGCCGTCACTGCTTGTAAGGAGCGTCAGAACTCACGCCCAGATCTGTCACTAGAAGGAGGAAGCAGCCCAGGGGCTGTGGGTACAGGTGCCCTGCCTGTGGCTCCCAGCTGAACTTTCTGCTGCTTCAGACCTTTGGTTTGTTTCTAGCTGGCTTTAGTAGTGCCTGAGCACATGCAGTGCTGAAAAGTATGTAGTGTTCCTCAGAGGTCTCTGAATGTCTTGCTTTTATTTACAGTTTACCTCTCTTACTGAGTGCTGGTTGTGGGTGGCATTGTTACTTTCGAGATGAATGAGACAGAGTACTGTACCTGCTGAAGGAGCCTGCAGCCGTTACAAGATGCTACAAGGTGAAAAACACCACAGGGATAAAACCTTGTGAGATAGTCACTATTTTGATAGAAGGAGCATGTCTGTTCCTACAGTAAATATTATGGCCAACAAATATAACATTGTTTTCTGAAGGCCACTGAGGTTACTGGCATCCCCGAGTCTCTGCACAAGCCACACTTGGTATGAGATCTGCTCCCGCCCGTGCTCTGCAGGGCTGCCGCCTGTCTCCTCGGACTGCTCTGCTCTGACAGCTGCTGCCAGAGGTGACTGCTCTCTTGCTGCCATCTCAGACCTTTGCTTCTATTGCATCCCACTAGTCCACAGCACTCAGTGACTTGCCTTCTTTACTGTTTCCCCTCATGAGCCCGGTCTGTCGTTTGTGCCACAGTGTCCCAGCTCCAGGCACAGGGTCGGCTCAGGGACCACTGACCTGAAGGGAGCCTCCCCTTGCCTGGCGCTGTCCCCACCCTTCCTGCTGCCCTGCCCCAGTGGTTAGCGCTAATCAGAGCGCATTTCCTGTTTGTGACCACGCTGGCTGCTCTCAGGCAGACCTTCTGGAACAGGTGAAAGCGACCCTGGCTGGTCCTGCAGGTTGGACTTCATCTCCAAGGTTCTACATCCCCAAGGTTGCTCTCACAAATCTTCATTTTCAAATCTCACCTTTGACCTGCATGCTGGTTCACCCCCTTAATGGAAACTGCTGCTGTGATCACCCCAAAGCTCATTTTTCTAAGCCTCAGTTTCTTCACTGCAAAAATGAGAATAATGGGAGTATTTTCTAGGTTACCATGAGAGTTAAGTCATACTTGTGAAATGCTTACAGTGGCAAGGGTTTTTTCCCTCAGCTTGCCTTCCTGCCTCACTCCAGTGCCTTTTACAAGGAGTCCCTGCTTAGGACATTTAGGCGACCCATTAGGCAATGCCATGTTTTTTTTTCTAGTAGGTTCCAGTTGTGCTGTTGTAACACAGAAGTATCTGGAGATTTGGTAACAGTACACAATGTACTATGGTTTGTAAACAGTTTACCTTTTAGAAGATAAATTACAAGATGAGTATGGTGGTGCATGCCTAAAATCCTAGCACTCAGGAGGCTGAGGCAGGAGAATTGCTGTTAATTTGAGGCCAGCCTGAACTACATAGCGGGATCCTGTTTCAAAAAAAAAAAAAAAAGATTACAGCAGACTGGTGCACACTCATGTAATCTGAGCACTTGGGAGGCTGTGGCAAGAGGATGGCTGAAAATTAGAGGCCAACCTGGGCTATATAGTGAGTTCAAGGCCAGTTTGAACAATACAGGGAGAGCCTGTTTCAAAAACAATAAAACACAAAATGAAACCACCTCCCCTCCTGTCAGAGCAGACTTAAAATGACCCCTGTAACCGGGTCACTCTGGTGCTGTGTTGCTGAGGCCAGGGCAGGGACACATCAGTCCACCAGTCTCAGGAATGTCACATAACCAGTAGCCCCACTTATCTGTGGTTCAGCCTCCAGTGCACCCTGTTCCCGATGTGTCATCACTGCTTTAAAGGTTACAGCTGGGTGTGGCAGCCAAGGCCAGTCTCAAAAGGGGTGGGGATCCCGAGGTGGGGAAGTGGCTCACATTTACTGGGTTCAAGCCCAGAGCTGGGACACCCCCACCCCAAGAAAACCAGGGTACATGTTATTGCAGTGCGTTACCTCCTTGCAATTTAGCTTAACCAAGAAATCCAGTTGTAGTTCTGCAGCATGGCGGGTCCCACAGGCTGGGCGTGTGGTGTCTGTCTCTTCTGCCAGAGCCAGCGGCCGTCTTGGTAACTGGAGAGGCTCTCTTTGCCCTCAGCCCCTTCAGTGCATTTGTCTGACTCTCGGGTTGTTGGGGACCAGAAATTCACGATGGCTAATTCTGCATACTTCCCCAAAGGATAAACAGAGGCTTGGGATTATCCCTACCACCCATTTGAGATTTCCCATTATCTCCTAGGGGTGAGCCATTCTCTCCCAGCACTAAGACTGAGATCACATCCCACAGCATGATCACCTCCACCCTCTTAGTTCTAGGTTAAGCCCTCCTTAAATTCCCTGCTCCATCAATGCACAGGTTCTGACCGCCTCATGCTTGGCCTTTTGTTCCTCGTGAACAGCTTGTCTCCTGGAATCTCTGCTGTACTGCTCTTTTGTCTCTTGCTCTTTTCTGTCTCTCTGTCTCTCTCTGTGAGCCACCATAACAACTGGCAGGAGGTTGGAGGCTCACTGCAGGGATCCCCGACGTGGGGTGACACTAAAGGTTGACGGCAGCTTATTTTGGACAGTAAGCAACTCTGAAGGATTTTACTGTAATAATGACGATTTGTGTAACTTACAGGTTTAACGTGCACATACCACTGGCGGCTCAAGCCACCTGGCAGCAGGACATGAATCATGCTCCCTCATGGATTTGTTGTCCCACTTGGTTTATGCATTCTTTCATTCCTGGGTACAGCCTTGTGTAAATTAGAATCGAGTTTTTATTTTTACTTTAAAAATGAGAAAATCGAAGCTCATGAGGTTAGGTCCAAGGCTGCTGGTTTTATTTTTTCACCCAGCACAGGAATGCTGCCACGTGTGAAGGACAGGGAAGGCTATGGTGATGCAGACTGGAACTTGTTTTCTTGGTCCAGTTTCTGTGTTCCTTCTTTTTTTTTTTTTTTTTTAATTTTTGTCTTTTTCCTTTTTATCGGTACTGGGGATCGAACTCACGACTGCCTGCTTGCAAGGCAGGCGCTTACGCCGCTGAGCTAAACCTCCAGCCCGTGTTCCTTCTTTTAAGGTGTGTCTTTGTGGCAGGCTCACCCACAGGCCCTCAGGAGATCGGTGCTAATGGTCTCCTTGCACATGCAACCACCACGGCTAATCAAGGGAGGTTCTGTCTTTTATGAAAATTATTTTCTCTGTCTTCCTCCTTTCAGAATTATCAGGAAAGCTTAACTGACCTCAATAAAGTTCTCCTACTAAACCCAAATCTTGTGGAGGCAAAGAGGGAACTGGAAGAGGTAACCAGATGCCTCAAAGATAACACAGCATCGTTCAACAAAGAGAGACGGAAAATTGAAATTCAAGAGGTATTTATATTTTATTATCTTTAAAAAGTTCCTTGGAGGGCTTACAGAGGTTTTAAGGTGATATTCCTGTTGTGATGATCCCTGAGAAATTTAGCCAGTTGTAAAGATGAAACTTGTTTGCTGCAGTGATGGCCAGCACTGGCCTGCAATTGGTACTGGGCTTTACATTACCAAAGGTCTCCATCTGTTGCCCGCTCTCCCAGCCAGTCATTTGTCCTGCTGCCCTCCGTGGTGCTCTCGGAGCCCTTGGCCATCAAACTTTGCTTCAGGGTAGCGCTGGAGAATCTTGACATGACTCAGGTTCAGGGGCCCTGTAACCCACACCCCATGATTTTTCAGATTGAATTTTTTAGCACCGTGAACTAAGATGGGTTCCTCAGAGGATGTAGATTTCCCTGGCTGTCCTAGTTACTTTCTCATTGCTGAGACACAACCCTAAGGAGAAAGGGTTTATTTTGGCTCATGGTTTGTGGAGGTTTAGTCCATATTCCACTGGCTCTAAGGCAGGGCAGCATGGCAGAGAGGCATGATAGAGAAGAGCTCTTGCTATGGCATTCAGGGAGCAGAGAGGGGGTAAAGGGAAGAGATAAACCCTTCCAGGACACTCCCGCAGGGGCCCAGCTCCTGTGACCAGGCTTCCAACACCACATTCAGCTGTAAACTCATCCATGGGCCAGTCACCACCCAAAGTCTCACCTATGAGCACATGAGGCTTTGGGGTACATCGGGATAGAAACTGTAACATCTGCCTTTGTGATTTCTGATAACCCATGTTTTTCTTTGCCATTAGTGGAGAATGTCAGAGCATGGATTCATAGACATTCATGACTGTCATGAATATGTTCTTGTACTTTTATGAAAAGGCTAATAGGCAAGAGAAGCTGTAAGTTTTTTCTGTTTAATGAAGGAAGAAAAAGCTGTTTTAAGACAACTGAAAAATATAACCTCACGTCTCTGTTGAGTGTAAGGAACAGTAAATGTAAAATTTATTATGAAAGAGAAAATTATTATAGGTCCTCCTTTGTGAATTTGTGGAAAATTGAAAAATAAAATCTGTTAAATTTTCAATTTAAAACTATTTACAAAGCTATTTTACTTTTTATGAACTGGGTTCTTAAAACCAAAAATTTTTCTGAAAGAAAGTGCAGATTTTACAATGTGTAACAAATTAGATTTTTCACTAGAACTTGACTAAAGTACAGAAGATCTGCTTGTGGTTTTCAGTTCCCATTTGACACCTGTAACTCGGGATGTATGTGGTGACTGTCACCCAGTGTCAGTTTCATTTTTTTCCCCGGTGAAGGTGAATGGAGGTGATGATGAGGAACCTGAAGAAAGCCCAGAGGAAGTATCCGCTGTCTGCCCGGCTGCTGAGAAGAGCGATGGAGGCCCTGGGCTCCCCGAGCGCCCTGAGCCCCTTCGCATCTCCAAGCCTGCTAATGCCTACGAGTTTGGTCAGGTCCTAAACGCGGTCAGTACCAGGCAGGACCAAGAGGCCTGTGCACACCTTTTAGCCATCACGGCCCCCAAAGATTTGCCAGTGCTTCTGAGTAACAAACTCGAAGGGGATATATTCCTTCTCCTCGTTCAGTCTCTGAAAAATCATCTTTTTGATAAAGATCCTGCCTTGGTGTATCAGCATCTTTTGTATCTAAGTAAAGCAGACAGGTTTAAGGTAAGTGGCAAAGTATTTTATATAATAGAGATAGGTGTTTTTCAGGGTTTCTAAAACTTTAGAAGTGTTACTTATGGCCAATAAAACTCTTGCCTGCTTTCAGATGATGCTGACACTCATTGGCAAGTGCCAAAAGGAGCAGATTGAACAGCTGCTGGACAATCTTTCAGACACAACAACCAACCATTTTACTTTAGAAGATGTTCAAGCCCTAAAAAAACAGTATGAACTTTAACTCGAGATTACTGATGGCTCCTTCCATGCATGTGTGTGTTCCAGCAATGCTCACTAAATGGTACTGCAAGAGTTGCATGGATTAAACCTGATTACAAAAATCCCTTGGCCTGACTGTAAGATGTTTTACTTGTTTTTATCTACAGAACGTATATATTCTATAATCTTTTTATTAGTTGTAAATATTTTCTTATATACCAGAACCATATCTTTATATTTAATAAGTATATTTGGGACATGTTAAAAATACATTTTAACTTATAGTGATAGTGCACACTTTCTTTTGATAACTTACCTGTTAAATATTTCAGTTAAACAGCATTTGTTTAGGCTATGGAGTCCTCTTAAGCTTTGATGGAAATAAATTTCTTTGAATTCCTCTTTTAAGACTGAAAGTTATTGACAGTGATTATGATGTCACCTTGTATCCTAAGTATCCCATTTTGTAATTCTAGTAGATTTTAATCAGTTAAAACATGATGCGATTCTGAAGTCTATAATCTGATTATTTAGTGCCCTAAGAGGAACTTATTTTTCTTAATACATTGCCCAGTGATTAATAAAAATTGCCAAAAGCTTCTCTACCACTTTTTACATTGACTCATATATTGCTTACATAAGCAAAATAACCACTACATAAAAGCGACTAAGCCTGCATTTATGTCTGAATTGTCCCCTTCCATGTTTTTTCCATTTGAATGTCCCCCTACCTTTGTTTTCTGCTTTCATGATTGTATTTATTGCTTTACTGTAAAAAGGGAAATGAATAACTTATATTGCAAACTCTTGTTAATTGGGTGGAAAAAGGCATTTCTTGCAATAAAACATGAAGGCCCTAAATCAGTGTAGAGCCACTTATTCCTGTAGTCTACACTCATTTGTTTTCAAGAGTATTTTCCTGTTCATTTAAAAATGATGAGGAAAAATTAATATCCTTTTATTTCCAGTCATTATTATTTTATGTTTTATAATTAAAGAATGTTTTCAAAATTTTAGTGTAAATGTTAACAAACTATAAGTGGTAACTTTTCAAACTACCATCTTTTCTTTCAAACCGTGTTGTTCATGAATGGAAGTACCGTAGTTGAGTACTTCAGTCTGCAAGCCTCAGGCTTGTCCTTTTCCATTCTGTTACACTGCACAGAAGTAAATGATGGGACTGTGTAACGCATGCCTGACGCGCTCTCACCGGTTACATGGCTTAGGCGTGTAAGTACACTGCGGTGTTCACGCAGTCGTCGGCAGGGACGCATTTCTCATGCCTAGGGATCCATTCATCCCTATCACTAGGCAGTGGTGGTGATACTGTTTTCTTTTTCTAAATGTAGTAATTGCCTGCTGCCATGTTATTAGAAAAGGGTAAAAAAAATTCTTCACATACTACAGACACCTTTGTATTTATTCCCAGAAAAGATGCACATTAAGGGCCCTGCAGAAACTGTAAGGAGCCTAAGTGGCTGGCCCTTGAGCTTTGGTACCACCTCTTAGAAACTGGTCAGGTTACAACGGCTAAGAGATTAGCCACAGGTTGAGCTTCAGACTGTTTCAATGGCAAAATCTTTCTTCCCCAACTCGTCACTGTTTTGAGGGCGAGCCCGCACACTAGCCACTGCCTATGCACAGCTGGGCACAGGTGGGAGGGTGCTTAATACATGTTTGCTGAATGAATGCATCTAGAGGAGAGCGCCTTAAAAAGCGCTTGCTTCCAGAGTTCAAATCAGAGAAGTTTCTGTTAGGCACTTGCCATGATGTTCCATTTCTCAAGTCATTCTGGGAATGCTTTCATAGTCGCTTGGGAGTCGGAACCAGAACAGAGCTTTTGTGATTCTTTGGCAAGTTGGAACTTATGGCCTCCTGGTCAACAAGCGCGAGTGTACAGTGAGTAATGTCTGGGGTTGCAGTATCACTTTAAATGGGCTGAATTTTCACCCTTAGAAGGAAGCATTGGGGGCGATAACTCCTGCTTTCAATGAGCTTATAGTTAATTTGGGAAAAAATCAGCAATAATACTGACTACAAGAGTCTCTAGTAGGAAAAAAGTTCAGTGAAATGTCTGAGGGTCACAGGTGTTAAACTGAGTAGTAAAAAATGTATTTTTAAAAATCTATGTCAGCTTTTGGGGCTGGGGATTTAGCTCAGTGGCGTAAGTGCCTGCCTTGCAAGCAGGCAGTCATGAGTTCGATCCCCGGTACTGACAAAAAGGAAAAACACCAAAAAAAAAAAAAAAAAAAAAAAAAAAATCTATGCCAGCTTTTGACGTGGTCTCAGGCTGATGCGGAGCAGCAGCTCAGGAAGACCGAGTGGCTCCCTGTTCAATCTCCAATATCCTGAGCCTCCAAGTCTCACCCATTGTCACTGCAGGTGACAATTCCCCTAAGTTATATCCAAAATTTCAGCTAGTATTTAATCTTATTTCCCGCCATTTGAATTTTTTTATATCTGTATCTTACCTGTAAAACAGGAACAACTATTTGCTGTGATTAAGCAGTGGGTTGAGGAGACTATTTCAGTAAACACAATCTTGATCCTGATTCATCCGTACATGCCAAAACAAAGGTAAAGTTTTGTTAGCATGGCTGTAGTAAGAAATGACAATAAAGAGTATTGGTAAGAATGTGGAGAAATTAGAAACCCTGCACAGTACTGACAGGAATATAAAGTGGTGCAGCTGCTTTGGAAAACAATTCCTCGAAAAGATAAACACAGTTGTTGGATCTAACAATTCCAAAACTCTTAGTGTTGCACCCAAGACAACAAAACCTATGTTCATGTGGAATATTTATATCCATTCATAGCAGAATTGTTTATATCAGTCCCAAAGAAACAAATGTCTACCAACTGATGAATGCATAAACAAAAATATGTTGTAGCCACATAAAAGAGTATCATTCAGCCGTAACAGTGAAGAGATAGTGGTGCTCTGTGGATGAGCCTGGGGAGTGCAAAGATGACAAGGCCACATTTTGATTTCATTTATACGAAACGTCCAGGATAAACAAATTCAGAGACAGAAACTGAAGAGGAGCAGACAGCCGCTTAACAAAAGAGTTTTGGGTAAACTGCCTACCTACCTGTAGAATACTGAACCAGAAGCTGGGCATGGTGGCCCACACCTGTAATTCCAGCACTCAGGAGGCTGAGGCAGGAGGATCATTTGAGTTTGAGACCAGCCTGGGCTACAAAGTGAACCAAGGCCAGCCTGAACGGCATAGAGAGGACCCTGTCTCAAAAAGACAAAGAACAAAAAACAAAAAAAACTGGACCCATAACGCAGCATGCATTAACTAAAATCAAAGTGAATCAGAGAACTAAACATTAAAATAGAAACAATTTGCTAGAAGATAGCTAAACTATGTAAAACTCTTGTGAAGTCACAAGTAAGGCAAGGACTTTTTTTTTTTTATTTTTAAGATAGGGTTTCACTATAAAGTTCAGGCAATAATCCTCCTGCCTCAGCCTCCCGAGTGCTGGGATTACAGGCATGTGCCACCACACCCGGTAAGGCAAGGACTTTCTGAACAGAACCCCAGTTGCACAGAAAACAGTCTTGAGAATCAACAAAGGAAACAGGTAAGAGTGAAAAGGCAACCTACAGAATGGGGAAAACAATTTTTTTTGTCAGATATTTTTCAGAGCTCAAAAAATTACACCATCCAAAATAAAAGACCCCGTCAACAAACAGACAAGTGAAATGAATAGACACTTCACAGAATAAAAAGTATTAAATGGTTAATAAATATATGAAAAATTCTCAATGTCAGTGGCTGTTTGAGAAATAAAAATTAAAACAACACTGAGATTCCAACTTGAGCTACGATGAAGAAATCAAATAATGGTAACTGTTGGCTTGGCGAGACTGGGGGGAAAAAGGAACTCCTCTGGTGGGAATGTAAACTAGAAGTAGTACAGTGGAGATGCCTCAGAACAACTCAAACTAGGAATTTCACTTGACTCAGCTATTCCCTTTGCAAGTATCTTCCTGAAAGAGTTACATGCATGCCTGGGTTTATAGCAGCACAGTTCATAACAGCAGCCTGTATGTCCATCAACAGACAAAGAAAGCATGGTATTTATATGCAATTGTGTCCGACTCTGCCATAAAGATAAACTTGGTTGTATGCAGGAAAATAGATGTACCTTGAGACCATGTTAAATGAAATAAAGCAATCACACACACGCTTAAATGTAATATGGATTTCTTATATGAGAAACCCAAATTATAAATAGCAAAATAAAAGATGGTAGGATGTAGGGAGACAGATCTTTCTCAAATGGGAAGGGAATCAAGAGATGGAGGGAAAGGGACTGAAAAAAGGAATTAAGATTTGTTACTAGAATTAATGTGAATTACAAAATTTCAGCATCCAAAAGCAATATGCAAGATCAGTTACATAGCTGTAACAATCAAAACTTGAGATTTAAAAAAAACTTTATACTGAAAACTATAAAGCATTATTGAAATTAAAGAACTAAATTAAAGGGTAAATATCCTGAGTCACTGAAAATTCAATATTGTTAAGATGTCAATTTTGCCAAATGTATATATAGATACCATGAAATCTCAAAACTGTAACAGTCTTTTTAGTAGAAATCTAGAAATGGATTCCAGTTTTAAGGGTATTATTCAAGTCAGTGCGAAATGGAAAATTATTTAATTGTGCTGTCAAAAAATATCTTTTCATCTTGGAGAACATAAAATTGGATCTCAATATTACATTAAATGCAAGATAAATTTAAGACAAATTAAAATATAAAAACAAATCAAAATCTCATAAATCTTGGCAACAAGTACAATTTAAGGAAAAAAGACTAACTGAACTAGGGCTGAATGTTACAACTGGATATATTAACAATACAGCCTCATATTACAAAAAGTAAGATGCATGGGTGAAGAATATATGGAAACTGAACTATCTTTGCAAGTTTTCTGTTAATACAGAAACATCCCAGAAAAATTTAAATTTAAGAACTAAATAAAATGATAAAAAAATCCAACACAACAACCCAGCTGCTCATAAAGTCAAATGATAGATGTGGAGAAAGATACAGCAAAATTAAACTGCTGTTTTCAGTTCTAATTTATAAAGATCTTTTTCAAAATGACAAGGATAAACCCCCCAACAGCAAAAATAATGATAGCCATTTGAGGGAGCAACAAATTCAAATGCTTCTTCCCCACAAAAAGACAAAACATGAAAATTCACTGGTCAGGAAAATATAAAACCAGATAATGGCTACTACTTTATACTCAAAAGTTTAGAAAAATTATCAAGCCCTAATAATACCTATTGTTGAATAGGAATGAGAAGACTCATGCATTATCAAATTATAAATTGTGACAGCCTTTTGGGGAAGAGATCTGGTAACCTCATTAACACTGCAAATACAAGTTCGCTGGCTTAGCCATTTGATTCCTATTAATCTATCACCTATAATTAAAAGCGCCAGAAAGTAAGGACTTGGTGGACTAGGATGTTTCTTACAAGTGTTTTGTCATGAGGAAACAGTTAAACAAAAAGCTAACACCATAAACAGTCATCAATATGTGAATATAAGCAGTATACAAATGAACTGTGCATAACTGTATCAACATGGGAAGAAAAATATACATTCTACAACAGTCATTTGCACTGGCCATTGGGGAGTTTAATGTGGGTAAAGGGAAAAAGAGAAAGGGGGAGAAAAAAGGAAAAGAAAAAAGGGAATGGAAAAATGAATTCTTTTGTGGGACACATATTCTTCAAAAGGCTTTCAGAAGTAATCACCTCTAAATTATCAATTTACGTTACCCCCAAAGCATCCATGATTTCCCTTTATCTACTTGTATTACGTTTTCTTTAAACAAGCAAAAAGATATAATACCCCCAAAAGCAAAGTTAAAATGCCTGTGCCTTACTTTTCTCTTAATGCTGGGACAAAATACCGGACACCCAAAATTGAGGAAGGAAAGGTTTACTTAGCTCACAGTTGGTGGAGTTCAGTCCATAATCAACAGGCCCCAAGGCAGGGTGCCATGGCACAGGGGCAACACTTCCAGGTGGCAGAAGACAACAAAAGCAGCAAAAGGGGTGAGAGCAGGCCTCTTCTCTCTCATATTTTAAGCAGGCTACCACTCCCTAGGGTGGGTACAGCACTCACACCCTCCCTGCCCTCCTCTGGCACAGGATGAGGATGTTCACAAAGAAAGATTCCTGGTTCCCCTGCCGGAGTTGCTTTATTAACTGATTAAACTTCTCAAGTTGACACAATATATCAACCATTACACCTGGGCTATAGGAATCCTGAAAAACTATGTTCCAATGGCTATTGCTTATTTTATTTATTTATTTATTTATGTGGGTCCCAGGGATCAAATTACCAACCTTGCACTTGTCAGGCAGGCACTGTGCCACTGAGCTATGTCCCTGGCCCTATCACCTATTTTAGAACATTTAAAACCATACTGTATTTAATATGAAATCCTGTTAAAAAGTGACTGCCTCTGCAAGTACATTTGTTCCAAATAATGTACTACTATGGGAAGAGACAAGCCTCCAACTCTTAAGTCACAAATATCCTCATCCCCTTTACTCAGTTATTTCATCCCACCATAGCAAGTTTATCCATTCCTGCCCTCAAAAATCTAGAATTTCTTTAAGATTTAGAAGTTTAACTAAGAGACCCAGCAGGGGTAGTGGCCTGTGTACAATATAAAGGGTGAAAAGAGGCTTGTTCTACCCCATTTTACTGGCTGCTGCTTTCAAGTGTTACCCTGGTGCCCTGCCACTCTGTCTTGCAGGCAGCTGATTATGGACTGAAACCTCTACAAACTGTGAGCTAAGTAAATTCTGCATTGGGTGACAAACATGACTGTGGCCATCTTTTCCAAAATTGTAGAACAAGTTAAGTTTGTGACTTTTAGGTACCACTGTGTATGTTTATTATTTTTGTCTTTCTCCCAACTATAACAAAGTCAGAATGTTTATTTGGTGCCATGTTGTATTTCTATGATCTTTGATACTTTGCTGAATGCATGGCTAGAAGTAACAAAAATTTTGACTAGCACATGAAGTACATATCACAGTGATTCAATTAGAACTGTTTGCAAACTCACTATTCATCTATTAAACAATGGTTAACAAAAACAACAACTCTAAGTTTAACAAAGTCAACGAATTGTGAACATGTATATATGTTATGTTTTAAGTTTTTTGAGAAAGGGTCTCGCTATGTAGTTCAGGCTGGCTTTGATACTGGAGATTTAACTCACAACCTTGCACTTGACAGGCGCTTATACCACTGAGCTAAATCTCCAGCCTTCAGGATGGCTTTGAACTCACTTTGTAGCCCAGGCTGACCTCGAACTCAGGACTTCTCTTGCCACAGCCTCCTGAGTGCTGGGATTAAGACGTGTGCCACTACGGCCAGCTAACCCTAACTTTTAATAGCTCACACTTAAAATGAGGGAAATAATCAAAGAACATATTTCTAAGGGAAACCATATGAAAATGTGAGAATATTAATGACTCTGAGTAGAAATAAAAAAATTTATGGAACAGGAGTTTTTATTTTGCCTATGTCATATTGGAACTATTAGCTCTGATGGTTTGCAACACTTTTTTGTTTGTTGGTTCAAGTCTACATTTTAGTTAGACAACATTCCATGCAAAGTTAGTATCTGCAAATTAATCCCATTTCCAACATAAATAAAAGTGATAAACTATGCAAACAATATAAAACAATATAAAAAGCTGGGAATGTATACATTCAAGAGAATCTACCATAGGATATACTATCAGAATCTTGTTGAATCTTTTGTGATTTTTCCATACGGCAAAGCAGACAGGGTTTTTAAAATATCTTAAGTGACTTATGATTTGTCTTGAATATCCAGAGGATTTCTCTTGTTGTAAATAGTGGAGATTTAAGCTCCAGGAGATAGCTTGGTCCTTATGTTAATTGTCCTAAATTAATCTGAGTTTGAAAGATCCATAGATGAAGGAACTTTTGAAGCCAGCTGAAAAGTCTAGATCATTTTTAAGGGGAGAACGAGGTCCCAACAGAAGTGGGGCCAGTGGCATAAAATGAACGCGATGACTTCCCTCACAACACCTCTTTTGCTGTATTTCTCCAAAGATCATTTCACTTTCTAATTAATCTTTACTCCTTTAAAGAAATGTCACGAAGACAGTCAATGTATTTGCACAGAGAGTTTTCATTAGTTACGTACCAGGAAAACAAAACAAAACAAAAAAACCCACTTACACACTTCATAGAAGCTACAAGAATGGATTACTATTTGTTTGAATTTTAATACCCTCAGTTTCAAAACCCAATTTTGCTAGATGATTGTCTTAGTCTTTTAAGATCTTTTTACTTTTCTAAGACAGAAACTTATATATAATACTGATCTATTTTCACAATTTAATGACAGGCTTATTTTACTCAAGGTAAATTCAACCAAATGAGTTTTAAGAATGAATTATGTTGATATAAAACATTTTCTTTAGGAGGAAAGCAGAAATTAAACATGAAGAAAGGATAGTTCCTGACATTTCTGAAAAGTTTAGCAAGTGTTTCCACTTGGGCTGACACCAGAGGGCAGAATCAGCTAGTGGCTTGTAATATTTATGAATATTATTACCACACTGCAAACAAACATTCTTGTTTTTATAAAAACATTTGTGCACACACGCAAAAGGCAGCAATACATTAGTATTTACATTTATTTCATGTATGTAGTTTAACACTCATTACTGAACAAAACTGGAATGCAAACAAATATACAAATACCATAATAAGCATTATCAAATAAAAAGAGCTGGCACTAGTGTTATAAGCATATTAATGGACCTGGTGAGGAAAGTGATGGAAGATTTGCAGCCAGTATTTCTTTTTTTCCAAAGGAAACGCTCAGTAGCACCATAATGGTAATACTTAAAGAACGCACAGGATGGATCATTTTAACTGCCATCAGTGAGGTTAAACTGCTTTAACAGTGATTTATACAGGAAGTTAACAGTACAGGCAGTATTTTGGCCAACTTCTGCTTATGTCAGCTGAACATCTTCCATAAACAAAGCGAAAGTATATAAAGCCAACCATTCACGAACCTTTCATACTTGGTACAGTCTCTGCACCATGCTTTGATTTCATGGTTGGAAAAGATACAAATGTGTTAAAAACTGAGGTTATGTAAAGTTTTTCACTAAAGCCTGAGCATGTCTTTGGTAGGCTAATACTTCTTCAGCACTGTTATTAATCACATTCATTTTACTTATGGCCTATATTTTTCTATATAATCAAGGGGACTAGACAGGACAATACAGATAGCAATACAGCAAAATCTTCCTATCAGTAGGCCCTTGCCCTTAAAACTCGGTCTATCCCAAAGGCACCAAGAATCAGTAGGGCACAAATTTCCCCTTAATAAAAGGTGACTTGTTTTGGTTAACACTTACAACCAAATGGTATTTTATTCTGCTTTTTTTTTTTTTTTGAGACAGTCTTGCTGTGCAGTTCAGACTGGCCTTGAACTTACTTTGTAGCCCAGGCTTGTCTTGAACTTGCAATGATCCTCCTGCCTCAGCCTCCCGAATGCTGGGATTACAGGAATGCACCACCACACCTGGATATTACTTTACAGTTTTATATATCTTACTTGTTGTTATCAGTACACTTAATTACCTACCTTTACATTTTTCTTTTAAAATGGCATCAACAATGTTCAAGATAGAGTACCAGATATTTCTATTTCAAAGTTGTGCAAAAACTGCCGCAATGTTGCTCAATGTGTCTAAGTATCCAATGATTACAAAGGGCTGCAAGAAGCATTATGTATTTGCATTGTGTAGGAAGAAAAAAAAAATGAAATTTTAGTCCAGTTACAAATAGAAATGTTACAGATAGTATCATATACTGAGAGTAACCTGATACATTCTTTTAAACATATCCCTTAGTGGTTTCAATAAAATGTCATTAACCACTTTTCCCTAGCCTCAAGTTTTCTTCGTAAGAATGCTGTAGAACTGCATTAATATTTTATATTGATTATAAATTAGCCAAATTTCTAAGTACACAGGTATGTGCATCAAGCAATGTTTTGTGATAAGCACACAAAACATGCTTTATTCTTAAGATTTATTTCTCTTATAATAATGCACTTTTAAAGCCTTCATTTCATAGTTTGGTAATTAAGATTCGTATGAAATACAATGCTTTGCTGAACACAGAAAATTTATCTACATTATGATTATGATAATGGCGTTTGCTGGTAACTTGAAATCTTAGTCACAGATAATTCAACCAGCTCCATACAAGCTTGTGCAGTGGTAATTATTTTTGCAGCATTTATGGGCCTAAATTTCAGTCTGAATTGCAACTTTTAATTCCAATGTCTGATGTGAGTGGTTGTTATTTGTTTCTTTTAGTGCATCACCAAAATACAAATCACCATTAGGTTTTATTCCACTGTTACCATGGTCTTCAGCAATATGACTCTGCTGTGGTACTTCTGAGCATGAAACAGTTTTAGAAAGCAGAGAAATGCTACACTGATGTGGAGAATTTTCCAGACGGTCATTTTCTACCTCAGGAAGAATGTTAACAGTAGCAAAGCGGGTATGATAATCACTGGAACCATGACTGCAGGAAGTTTTCATGCTTTCTAGGTCAGAACAACTAAATTCAGAAAAATGACTAGAGTGGGAATCTGCTACAGATGGCACACTGTCACTGAGGGATGGCGCCTCAAATTCACTTGAGTTCGTGCTTTGTTGTTCTAACAACTGTGCATCCATGTCCTCTCTGGTCTCGTTTATCTTCATGTTACCTTTTTTCCTCAATTTGCCACTTTTTGATTTTTTTCCTGCTGTTGCTTCTTTGGACCACTTGGTGGTGCTGGATTTACCTTCAGGCAAGCCTCCGGATGAACACGCATGGCTCCGGGTAGCACTGCCATCGTCCACACTACTGCTTCCACTGTTGTGCCTGAACTTGGATGGCTTTGATTCGATATCAACTTGCACCTCCAAACTGTTGCCTTCTCTGGAAGAGAAGAGTAACAATTACAAACAATGTCTAGTCTGCTTTTATTTTTATTCAGATGATAGTAAATGCGAAGAGGTTTGTGCAATACTGGATCTCTTTCATACTAGGCAAGTGCTTTACTACTGGGTTACATCTCCAATTTTTTTTTTCCTTTTTGGAGACAGGGTCTTGGCTCAGCTTGCATAGACTTTGCGATCCTCCTGCCTCAACCTCACTACTAGCTGGGGTTATAGGTGTCTACCAGCATGCCCAGCTGGGAAGGAGTATTTGTATGAAAAATCCAAGAATATATGTAAAACTTGTCAGGACATGTAAATGTAGGACAAATCCTACTAAAATAAAAAGTATATACTTCAGGACTTTTAATGATTCAATTCTTCTTAATAGTAGTAGATATATTTATTGCTTATGCTATAATAGGTATTTTGCCAGCTCCCATTTTTTTGATACAGTCTTACTGATAAGATATAAATACCACATTTACTTTCCTAAAGTGCAAAATTCCATGGTTTCTAGTTTCTTCAAGATCTGTACAATCATCATTAGCTAACTTCAGAACGTGTTCATTATCTCCAAAGAAACCCTGCACTCATTTTTCCCTCCTCCCAGCTCAGGGCAACCACGTCTACTTTCTATCTCTATGGATTTGCCTGTTCTGTACACTCCACCTAAAGAATTTAGCAGTTCATCATCATTATTCACTGGAAATGTCATCCAAAGAGAGGAATAATTCTTTTAAAATTAAAATACTTTGTAACACAATTTTCCTTACTTGTCCAGGGGGATATAGGAATTCAGAATGGATCCTGCCATTGCTTTGGTGCTGGCATTATCACTGACCGTTCCCAGGCTGACTGTGCCAGACTCTCCACTTAGACTGTACCGTTCTTTCTGTACATCTGCTTGTACTTCCAACCTTAAAGGGAAAGGCATCAGGTCAAAACCAAAATTATATATAATTCAGCACTACCATAATAATATGCAATTTTAAGTAAGTCACTTAAGAACCTTGGTAATAAGAAACCATTTTAAAAAGCTATTTTTTGTTCATTCCTTCTGATTTGATTATTCAAATTCTATTCCAGCACATAGGACAGTACCAGTCATCAAACAGAATGAGAAAAATTAGCTGTCTGCCAAGTGAGGCAGTAAAAGAATAACACAAAAAGGACACAATGACCTTAACTTAAATATGCACCATTATTTTTTAGTCAGCATGTGGCATTTTATTAAGTTTCAGAGCAAAAACACAATCATAGTACATTATCAACCATTAAACAGGACAGGTCAGTGAAATGAAAAAATTCTATAATAAAGAAGGTTCTACAAATAACTTCTGACTTTTTATTTATGCATTTCTGCAGTGCTTGGGATTAAACCCAGGGAGCCGTATATGCTAGGCAGGTGCTGTACAACTGATTTAAATCCCCAGCTCACATCGGATTTATTTTTAAGAGATAATATATGCCACTAAAATTAGGAGTTTCTGTTCGAATGCAAACTAGCAACGAATTTATTTTTGAATTTGGATGTTTTTCTCTCCATTAAAAAACAAGGCTAACGAGTGAGGAACGTGAATCAAGGAAGGAACAAAGGACGATAAAGACACGTTAATGTCTTGTACTTATCTATATGGTTGTTGCTGAGATTCTGTGAAAAGTGACCTTTCCTACCTCAGGACACAGGTCAACGAATCTGGCCCCAGTTCATGCACCTCCTGATGTCCCAATTCCTTTTCCCCAGGCTTCCTCCAAAGTCCCATCTAATATTTAGCTGCTGACATTCCAGAAGGAAGACCTGAGTAAGCATCACCTAATACTGAATGAAGCAGCCCAGCATCAACTGATTTAGCACATAAAAATCTGACACATACAATGAACAATTGGAAGAACGCTATTTGACTTAAGTTGTTGTCACATAATGGGTATACTGTGACAGAAAATTCAAATAGTAAAAATCTACTGTATCTTTTGTATGTGTTGTATCTATTGTTAGAAATAAATTTCATTTTTAACATTGCTAATAGAATCATCACCAAGGTTTGTGTTCAAAATTCTCATTTAATTAACATTCTATACTTAACAGGAGATAGAAATCAAGCAAGGCCGAGTACTCTTACCTGTTAAAACAGTTTACCATGGCACTTCCTGACAGACTCCCTGTTATGCTCGCTCCAGCAAGGGCCATGGTGCTAGCTGTTTCACTCAGGTTGTCTCGAATAGCTCCTATTCGATCCATGTGGCTTCCACTTGCACTCAGACTGCCAGTCAGGCCACCAACACTTCCCTCTCCTATGCTAGGGTTGTGTCTTGCTTCTGCTACTGATGTTGTGTCTAAATGTAAACAAATTAAACATGAAAGATTATTCATTTCACCTTCTTGAATTCTTCCATGCTTTCAGACAGGCTATTTTTATAATGTAAAAACCACACAAGAATAGAAAAACATGTAGGGAGTCAAGGACATATAACTACGGGCTAAGAGTAAAGAAAAATACCTCAGAAAGTACAGCTGGAAGAGGGATTTGTAGTCACTATTTCTTTTAATCCAGAAGATTTAGGAATTCTATAGTAAACTCATTATTGAAAAAAGCAGTTGATTTTGTACAAAAACAACATGACAGTTTTCAATAATGGTATTATCTGAAGATGATCTTAAGTCTCTGGAAGAATGGGTCAACTACTGGCTTCTAGATAAGAGCTCAGTCCCAACTGTCTACTAGCTACTACATGATTGGATAACGCCGACAGTACTTTTCACATGTTTTGTATGGAACAAATCATACAAATTTACTCATATCAGTACTTGAGTTCCTATTAGAGATCCAACCATATGGTGATAGAGGTTATTAAACAAAAACAAAAATAAAGGAGAACAATAACAAGTGCATGCTAAAGTACCATTTTATACAATGTAATCAAGAAATGCCTCTTTGATAAGGTAACACTTATAGAGACTCAAAGAAGTGAGCCAAGAACTTATCTGGAGGAAGAGTATTCAGGAAGAGGGAGGTGTAAGTTTAAAAAGTTAGAGCAGGGCAGAGCTAAAGATGGTGGATCAGTGAGCAGCAAAATACAGAGCCTCCCTGAGAGAAACAACTCAGATGCCAGAATAAAACATCCTGGAGAGGACCAGACAGAGGGAGACAGATCCTTCTGACCCAGGAAGTAACTAAAGGGAAGAGCTGGTCCTGGGGCTACCATCGGAGTAATTAAGATTAGCGGCCACAGTGCTCTTGCTGAAGCTGCCCATCGCACCGCAGTGGCTTGCTGGAGCCACAGTTGCACTGAAGTATGGGGTCAGCAAGCCCAACAGAGAAAAGAACCAGTGTGGAGACCTGCACTAACCCATCGTGAGTGCTTGGAATAAGACCCTCCCATGGGAAAGAGGCGACCAACTGGAAGACATGTTGAAATCAGGCAGGATGGGCATGAACAAGGAATGGCAGTGACTTCAATTTGTTGCTCTCTACTGAGAGCAGATTGGTAGGATCTGCTTGGCCTGGGTCACGCCCCTGGCCAGGACCCCGTAAGTCGTCCCAAACCAATTCTGTATGTGTGGCACACACTAACACGGTGAAAGCCCCCGCAGGTTGATTGGTTCGGCAGGGGGCAGCATACATCACCCCTGCTTGCACCTCAATGACCAACAGCAAACTGGAGAGGGCAGAGATCCCTAGCCAGCATGCATCAGAAGAACCATAACCAACAAGGAAAGGGGATGGGACCTCTACTATACATCTGTATGGAAGAAACCAAAAACATGGCAAGAGAAAAAAATAAGAAAAAGCTTCCATTCCCAACCCTGAGAATATTGATCCAGTAGTAGCAAATACAAAAGAGATTGAGACCAGCAAACACGCAATATCAGACATGGCATCAGTGGATATAAAGCGATATCTTCATGACATCATAGACGAAATACTAATTCAAGTAAAGCAAGATATAAGAAGATTAACAAAAGAAATGTTAACCATCTCTCAACAACACACAGAAGACTGGAGGAACACAAAAAAAAAAGGAGAAAAATGTTTCATGAAGAATATAAAAAAAACCTAGAATACATGAAACAGATTCAAAGAGATTACCAGGAAATGAAAAACTCCATCAAAAGCTGGAAAAATTGCCTGACAGAAACTAAACCTAGATTAACAAAACCTGAAAATAGGTTTGCAATGTCTGATTGTGAAAGGAAAGATCTCTTAAAAATAACAAAGAAACAGGCAGGAATAATACAACGGCTAGAAGACGACAAGAGGATCTGTAATTTAAGAATAAAAAAAGTTGAATGAAGAAACAGGGTAATTACAAAGGCTATTCACAGAAATAAACTTCCCAAGAATAGAAAAAGGAAATGATATTCAGATGTATGAGGCATATAGAACTCCAGCCACCTACAACCCAAACAGAGCTACACCCAGACAAATAGCAAGATCCCAGAAATCCATTACAAGAACAGAATATTAAAAACATCAGAGAAAAGAAACAGATCACCTATAAAGGAAAACCCATCAAAATCACGCCAGACTTCTTGACACAAACCATAAAATCAAGAAGTTGGAGCAAAGTATGTCAAGCCCTGAAAGGAAATAACCTCCAACCCAGGTTGATGTACCCTGAAAAACTGTCTCTCAAAATTTATGGAGAAACAAGATGCTTCCATGACAAAGAGGAACTGGAGGGATTCACGACCACTAATCCAACCCTACAAAAAATACTGAAGGACATTCTAGAAGAGAGAAAAAAATACCAAGATTTCAGGAACAGTGGTAGAGAGGCTTCGATGACTGATAGTATCAAGTCTGAGAGTATAGGCAACTATACTGAGAATGACAAGATTCACCAGGATACCCACGCTGGTTTGATTATTACTTTTGAAGTCTTTTTTTTTTTTTTTTTTTTTTGCTTTTGAAGTCTTACAATGTCTCCAATGTTCTGTTTTTATTAATACTTGTTATGTACTGCTATATTCAGTTATACTGTGCCTAATGACATAGACAACTCTATTGAAGATAACAAGAGACATCATAGTAACCATTGTAGATCACCTTGTATTGTGGTTTTATATGACTTTTTTGTTTCATGTTTTTCTAAGAATTTGTTTTGTTTTGTCTTACTTTGTTTTGTTTTTTCCCTCTAATACAGAAAAGATAGATATACATGTAGACTCATGCATGTACAGAACTTATAAACAGTTTATGAGAACTGATTATATAATGCATGATGAAATGAACAACTACTCTGAAGAAAAAGACACATTATAATATCCAGTGCTGATTTTGCAGCATCATGATGTGAAATCCAGCAATACAATTATTCTTTGTTCACAGTGATTTTAGTTTGTTTTGTTTTGTTTAATTTCAACATATAGTAAAGGTATGGACAGCTATTTTGAAGAGAATGAGAGACACTATGACAGCCATTGTTCACTTCCCTATTGTCTGGTCTTGAAGACCTAAAATGACTTCATCATCCTGTTCGGACCAGTTTTATACTATGTTGTTTCGTACGAATTCACTGTATGTGAAGATATGGACAACTATTTGGAAGAAAACAAGAAACAGTCTGATAGATAGTGAAGATTTCTGATGTCTTGCTTTAAAATTTATGTTTTTTACATTGCTTTCTTATGTTCTGTTTTGTTGTGTTTAATTTTACCCTCTTTTTAAAAAAAAGAGCAGAAACAAAGTTGGCATCCTTGAAAATCAAGGGGGGGTGGTATGAAGGAGGAGGGTAAAAAGAGGAGTTTGGAGACACAGTTAGGGTATGTCATATGAGGTCTTATGGGCCATAAAAAGGATTTTGGATTTCCTCCCAATTCAGTTATAAATCATTGAGAAAGAGTGAGCATAAGAAACATATGACCTAACTTCTGTTTTTGAGAAGTAACCAAAGCTACATTTTGAAATAGTAAGTGAAAGCTAAGAAACGGATAGATCAATTAAGAGACTATAACAGTAGTGGAGAAAAGAGAATAGTACCTTGGAATAATGCAATAGCAGTGGAGAGGTTAAGAAGTGGTTGGATTATGGTTAATATTGAGGGGTGCAGCATAACTGCTGATGAAATACAGGATATGTAAGGGGTAAAGGGAAGTCACTGTAAGTGAACATTTGAGACTCGTGACAGAAGAACGTTACTTACTGAGGAGAAAATGACGAGAGGAGAACAAGTTTTAAAACTTGGTTATAGCAAATTAAACCTGAAATTGTTGGGGGCTGGGGATTTAGCTCAGCGGCATAAGCGCCTGTCTTGTAAGCAGGCAGTCGTGAGTTCGATCCCCGGTACCAATAAAAAAAAGGAAAAAGACAAAAACAAACAAAAAAAACCCCCTGAAATTGTTGACATCCAAGGGCAGAATAAAAGGGAGAGTTAGATATCCAAGTTTGAAGTTTAGGGGAGAGCCCAGTCTAGATGTAAATGTATATGTAGCCTATGTATTTTTTAAAAAATTCACCTTATTTTAAAGAGATAAAAACTTCAAAATACATCAATCAGGGTGTATTTTTTAATAGATGAGATCACATAAGGAGGAAGTGTAGATAAGTAACTGAAGTCCTAGATAAGCCCTGGGAAAAATCAAACACTCAGAGGTTAGGAGAAGAAAATGAAACATCAAGTAAGACTGAAAAGAAGTAGGCAGAAGATATGATTAGAAGTGATGTCCCAGAAGACAAGTGAAGGAGGAGGAGCAGCACACGGCCTACCCCATCAGGTACACTATTATATTAATATGAGGACAAGAACTGACCACTGTATTTGGTGCCATGGAAGCCACTGGGACTCTGTTTTAGTGTAATGGTAGAGGGAAATTCTGTAGCAGTAGGAACAAAATTCTGATTGGAACTGAGGTAAAGAGAGAATAAGAAGTAATAAAGTGGCACTGTTTTTTATACATTTGCCTGGTTATTTTCCTAAGACAAATTCATGTAACAAAAATTGTTGCTATACAGACATACACTTTTTAAAAAGCTTATTAACTAATACCACGCTGGCAATCTACAAACATCTTTTTCTTAATTATTGCCACGGTTATTGTTCTAATTTATGTTTCTTTGACTAACACTAGTTTGAAGGTATTTCTGACTTACTAGCCATCTGCATTTATTCTTTTAACTGATTTTCTCTTCATATCCTTTTGTTTAGATTTTTAAGACATTACATTCTCATTAGAAGTTAGGTACCAAAACTATTCCAACCTCTTTCTTTTCTTTTCTTTTCTTTTTTTTTTTTGTCTTTTTCATTTTTATCGGTACTAGGGATCGAACTCACAACTGACTGCTTGCAAGGCAGGCGCTTATGCCGCTGAGCTAAATCCCCAGCCCCTATTCCACCCTCTTTCATCCAGATAAGTTCCCTTAACAGTTAATTTCTCATTGCTGTTCTGCATGAACATTATTAGGTCTCACAAAACAAAGCAAAGAAAATTCTGTTATCTATGGCTGCCCCTACTTAAAACTATTAATGAGCATGATTTCTTCCTTTGTTTAAAGCACTTACCTACAGCTGTGTTGGTGCCACCAACATTTATATCATTTTCATCATCGAATTCAATCCTCACTCCTTTTCCATTGCCTGCTGAAACTCCACAACCTCCACTTCGGCACAGAGAGATCGGAACAACGCCATAGACATAAGCTAACATAATAGGAACACCAATGCCTAAAGAGAAATTAAATGAGTCATAATACACAAAAGCATGAACTTTTAGAAAGCCTTTTTGAAAGAAGGAGATAAAGTGATAGGCTTCTGATTCGGCTGGAACACCTGCCAAAAGTGGGTTTACCAAGCTAAGAGTACACAAATTCCGGGAGGGAAACAGATAGCACAGAGGAATGTTTTTCTTTTTCAGTGCTAGGCCTCTGAATTGTATGGACTGACTCTTGGCCACTAAAAATTTATCACATACTCTTAAGTCTCTAGTATTTTTAACCAATAGTTACCGAATGAGAGACTTTTTATAGGCTCAGCTGAAATTACCCTTAAGCAACATTTAAAATTTATCCCCCTCTTATTTTCAACAATACAGTATTTTAAGGGACCCTTCCGACAAAACTTCTTGAAATGTGGGTAATACGTATTCTGAAGTGTTTTCTTACCGACAGTCACTGCAGCTACTACTGGAGACACGATTACAGACAACGTTACACCACCTGCTATGGCCAGATTCCGTTTGTGCTTTGAAACATCCTTGCCTTCGTATCGATTGTGAATCTTGAAATAAAAATACAAATGAGGGTAGGGTATTAAAGAGAAAATATATTACATATTTCATTTAGATGAAACAGACCTACATGTGCTAGAAATTCAAAGCAATTTCTCACATAATTTCATAATTGAATGTTCTAATTCAAAATAAACCCATTACTGTTCTGAAAAGTCTCACAAATAATTTCTTTCTTAAAATACATTTTTCACAGGAAGACAATGATTCAATAGATGTTACTTTGTGTTAACTTTGAAAAGGTCCTTGAGTAAAAGAAGGGTTTATAATTTTATTTAAGAATAGTATAATGAAAAAGAAATTAAGAATATTATTTGCATCATAATTATGGGTTGGATGTTTAATAAAATACTTTTAAGAAATTCAGCAAGTCACAGGTTTCTTCGTAAACAAGATTCCTTAAATGGCAAAAATCAGCCCATAGGGGTAGTTTCCATAATCTTCTTAAAAAATTGACCTTAAAAAGTAGTGCTACTAACAGAATTTTTTCTCAAATCTCTTTTTACACCAGAAGAAATTTACAGAATATTAACAGGTAAATCAAAATTCTGAGCTCTCATCTGCAGTTCAAAGTAAATGGTACAGAGAACAAAAGGAGAGTAAGTATTGGTCACACCAGGACAGGTCATATCCTTCTATGGTACTGGTGTTAATAAACAGAATTTAGTATGATTATATGAACTATGGGAAACAGCTCAGCATCTTTTTCTCAGGGATTGTATGAGCTAAAGCTTACTAATAAAGCATATTTCCTCATCTGTTTCAAGAGACATTCAAAACGGCTTCAAAAGTGTACAGGCAGTCTCTTAACACAAAATACTTGTTCTACAAATACTATTAAAGACTATTAAAGACAAATAATAAGGGGCTGGGGATTTGGCTCAGCAGCATAAGCCCCTGCTTTGCAAGCAGGCAGTCGTGAGTTCGATCCCTGGTACCGTTAAAAATGAAAAAGACAAAAAAAAAAAAAAAAAAGACAAATAATAATAAAATAATCTATGAATATGTGGTTATTCAGAAGCTGTAAAATACAATGTTGATTAAACAGTAAAAAGCAGAAGTGGGGAAGTACAAAAAGCATGTATGAGACAAGGAACATTTCTACTGCCTTAGTCAGAATCCTGTTGCCAACACTAACTGTATGATCCCAGGGAATGGGACCCTGCACATCTTTACAGACTCTGCGTAGAGTGCAGATCTTCCCAAAGCCCTTTTTATCTTCTTTTAGTACTGTAGCTAATTCTTGCTTACTTCCATTCCTCCTCATTCCCACTCCTAGGAAATTGATACAGAGTAATACAAATCATCCTCAGGCCAAAAGAGCAGACTTGCAGAGGCAGATCGTCAAGAGAAGGGAGGATTTCAGAACATTTCTCATCTTTAAGCATCAATGTTAACTCAGTGATTATGTTGCTTCATTATTTCTGGTTCAACTTAATTGTTTCTGTTTGCTATTTTTGCCACATCTTCCATTTTTAATTACAAAAAAAGTCTCAGCTTTTGGGCACTTCGTTGACTTACTAGGTTTCCATGACTGGTTTGGATCTCTAAATACCGTAAATCACTGTTTCATCAGCTTACAGCCCTTAGGCACATTTGAAAAAAAGCATCTTGTAACTGCACCTGAGACAGCAACAATTCAACAAATAATCTCTGTCTACAAATTATATGTAGGCATGAGCAGTGTATCAGTTTTTCTTTCCTAAGTATCTGAACAGTTTTATTTAAAAACAAATCTTGCTTTGAATAACATGAAAAATTATTAGCTTCTATACTCATTGGAGATCTTTTAAAGTTCAAGTTTATGTACATAAAACCTTCTGAAATACACATCTGGCTTGTGAGTGTCTATGTTAAACATTAGCCCCAAAACTGATGGTTTTGGTTTGTTTTTGCAGGGCTGGAGATCTAACCCAGGACCTCCTGGATGCTATTCAAATGCCCTACCACTGAGCTACATCCCAAGTCCTAAAACTAATTTTTAAAAGATATTGTATGTTAGTATGTTTCTGATTATAAAACCTGTTAAATATTAAAAAAAATTGGATGTTACATGAAAAAGGATCTACCTTTTCTTGAGTTTGGTCCCAGAAATCGCAAACAGAATTAAAGGAAGTAAATTTAAGAGAAACAGAATCTAATAACATAGTAATTTTCTGACACTAGTCATCTGACAACAGAATAGACTGCCTCATGAGTTGGTGGTGTCTCTACCATTAATGTGTCCAAACAACTAAACTGAAAATTATCTGGGATCTTACAAAAAGAATACTCATCTGATTAAATTTCAGCTCATTTTGCTGTATAACTGAAGACAGATTACATATGCTTTTCTAAACTTCACTGTTCTATCACATAAAGACTAAATATACCTAGTTTGCTACAAGGTATAAATGAGTACATAAAACATCTTCAGTTCTCTTTAAAAATTGCTATCCTTTGTTCCACTTCAGTACAAAGTTCAGATTAGATAATTTCTGAAGGCTCTTTTAAGTTCTGAGAATTGCACTTCATAAATTATCTCATTAATATGTCAAAAAGAATCATTTGCCTGTGTAATGAAGTATAATTCAACAATCAGTAGTGTGTTTGACCTCAAATTGTTTCACTCTACAAAGCAGTGTGTTTACTAACAGCAGTAATACAAAGGAGGAAAAATGCTGAACAATGTAGAAAGAATGAAAGCACTTGCTATTTTTGCTTGAGGGCATGTGTTAGCTACCAATTTTTATTTAAAAATCTCACAGTCCTGACTTTCCCAGGATATACCCATGAGAAAAATGTCAGTATGCCAGGCTTTTTAATGCAAATGTACTAGTTTTTCCAGATAGTTTTAAAACAAAACTGCTTTCCAAGCATACACAGTGGCCTGTTAGAGGTATATTAAACACTAGAGGTATATTATCTTATGAAAAACAGTAATCTGTTTATAATGAAAAAACTAAAAAGTAACTTTGTCTAAAAACAAAGAAAGGAAAAAAAATTAAAGGGATATGCCTAAAGATTTAGAATAAGCTAACAAGTCTGCATTTTTACCTTCCGGCCAACATACACAGGAATGCCAATAATCATTGCAGGGATAGCAATGCCTGCTATTAAGGCGATTCCTACAGGAGCACCAACAAGGGTTCCCAGCTGCCACAAGATTTTCTTCTTTCGGCTCCAGGGTTTCTTCCCCCAAAAAGTACACCCTGATGGACTAACAGGAAAAATTGTAACATAAAATAATTGTTGCAAAACATCACAACCAATTAGTACAATACACTGAAGCAATGCTTAGAAGAGGAAACTTCTCATAGTTTCCTTACCTTTGAATTCTAAGTTCATTTAAAAGCCAAAAAATGAAGATTCACTGTAAGTTATATTAACAGAATACTGATATCTGGGATTCAAAATTTATCCTTAGTACTCAATAATCTTCAAAACCTTAAGATAACTTTTACGAATACATTAATGTAAGACTCACTTACTTTATCCCTGCTTTAGATATAAAATTGTATCTGATTATATCATAAACTCACTTTGTGGCCTAAATGAGTAAATACAAATATGAGAAAATTAAATGGAAATATTCATGATTTACTATAATTACACAAGATACTAAATACTAGCATTCTACTTCAGCTAAAAAAAAAACAAAAGGAAACCTCCATCTCCTATTTTTAATTTTTATTAATTCCAAATGGCAGCATAAATTGGGTGTGGTGACTGATACCTCTAGTGAGAGGCTGAGACAAGATGACTTCCATTCCTGAGTTCCTGACTAGTCTGAGTAACAAGTGAGACCCTCATCTCAAAACAATAAAACAAAACCCCGAAAGACTAATAATCTGGTACCACTTAAATTTATGTAAGTACATCAAAATTCAACTTTTTAAAGTATTTTATCTTGTGTTTAGAAGTGCCTTTAGGATACTTTTTCCAAACCATCTTATAATATAAAATCGTATTTTCATATAAGTAACTCCCTTTATAAGCTTACCTGAGATAATGTAAATCAGAGATTTCTTTCATACATAACCAACAAAACTCACAACCACAGACAGCACACGTCATGTGATTGCAACTTCCATCATTCATCTTTATTATATAGGCAGCACATCGAGGACATGGCTTTATGTCATCAGCTATTGGGAACACAGAAACATGTGTTAAGTACATAAAACTGGTCTAAAAATAATTTCTATTGTATTTTCAATTGTAGCAAAGACATTAATCCTACACAGCTTCAGTCTGCTATTTTTTCTTTCCTTCTGAAAAGGAATATACTTAATTTTAAAATTTTAAGTTGTAAACATTTTTAAAACATAGAAGCAAGACAAGACGATAACAAAAGAATGAAAAGAGAAAGGAGAACCAAGAACAGCCCAACCCAAAAGTTTGTCTTGTTCGGAACCCACAGCTATGTTCTTTTAGCTCTTGGTTCCTTGGCTCTAGAACTTCTCTGATTACTCCACTTAAATGCAGACATTCTGTATGCTATTCCTTCAGTGAAAAGGGTGTAACAACCGCTACAGTGGTAGCTCAATTTAGGAATTTAATTCTTTCCATGATGCTGGTTGGAAAGCTGATTGGGTAAGAACTAAACCAAATTTCCCTATAAGGTCAACATTGAACCTAACCACTGAATTTGATTTGGCTGTCAACTATCTTTGTCCTTTTTATTCATTTATCGAAAATCTTATTAGTATATGTTCTTTGTACAGTTAATATGGTATTAACTTAAAATCAAGTGGCACATAATTTTAGGAATCAATGACAGCTGGGAATAGTAGCACATCCCTGTAATCCAGCAACCTGGGAGGCTGAGGCAAGAGGATCACAAATTTGAGCCCAGCCCAAGCAACCTAATGACCCTGTTTCAAAATAAAAACTAAACTAAACTAAACAAAATAAAAACTAAAAAAAAAAAAGTGGGGTGGGGTGGGGTGGGGGGGTGTTTGCTGGTGGTATACCTCAGGGTGAAGGCCATGTACTCAGTCTCTACCATGGTGGTGGTGGGGAATCAAACAATTAGTAACAGCTATTTCAAATTATACATCTATGTTAAACTTCGACAGCTACTTAAATAGCAACCTGTGATTACTTCGCTATTACTACTAGCCAGTTACACTGTCTAATTATAAATACAGTGCACATAGCTTTAAAAATATATTTACTTGCTAACCAGTGAATTTTAAGTATTATTCCAGTTTCTTGCATCATAAGCACTGTGGTATATTCTATTTTCCTTTCCACAAATCTATGGCCAATACTATCTCTACTTTACCAGTGAATTTAGGTTTCTTCAGTGCCTCTTCTAGGGAGAATTTGAGCAGTGATCATGATCACAATTAGTATTTTAACACCTCAAGCAATTTTAAGCAAATTGTAATTTTTATATAGCACACAAATGACAATTATTGAAATATAAAAGTTAAAAATATCTGTAAGTTATGATTTAAAATAACATAAAACCTGTACTACAAAATTTAAAACAGTAGAACATTCAAGAAAAATACTGGTTTTTATACATAAAACAGTATTTAGTATATCAAATAAAAGAAATGCTAATTCTATTTGCTTACATATCTTGTTGACAAGCTTCCTGACAGCTATCTCAACTAGAGGTGGGAATGAAGAGACTCCAAGTTTGGCTCTGAGTCTACAATCTCTGGAGCAAACTGGAAGGTATCAGAGGTAATCTCTCCATTCTTAATTCTACAACAGCCTTTTTAATAACTAAGGTTAGAATGTTTAACATCATAACCATGCATTTTTGATACATATCGGTTTATACGCACCCAAGATTCATTCTCCACGTACTTATCTATAAAAGGCTGTTTTATTGGGGAGTTTTTTGGGTACCAATGATGGACCTCAACAACCTCCTGCTTGCCAGGAAGGCACTGTGCGCTGAGCGATACTCCAGCCTTGTTTTTTAGTTTTTGTGAAACAGGGTCTCCCAACGTAGTTCAGGCTGGCCTTGAATTCACTATGTAGCCCAGGCTGGCTTCTAACTTGTGGCAGTCCTCCTGTCTTAACTCTCCAGATTGCTGAGATTGTTTGGTTTGGTTTGTATTTTTCACACAAGGTCTACATAGTGTAGGCTGGTCAAAACTCACTATATAGCTCAAGCTGGTCTCAAACTCACAGAAATCCTATTTTAGCCTTCTAAATGCTGGGATTACAGACATTAGCCACAATGCCCAGTCTGAAAGGCTGCTTTGTTCTCTTTCCTCAAGCAAGTAAATTAGAATTTACTGTGCACATTATATATTTCTCTCAAAAGTTTTATACTGCAATAATTCTAAATGAAAGTGTAAAGGATTACTTATTAATTATCTTCTATTTCTCAATAATTAATTATGCCAGTTTCATGTTATTAAAAAAAGTTTCCCATTACTCTTAAAAAGTGTTTGGCAAGACTTCTTTTTGATTACAATATTTATGTTTACCTATAAAATACAGCCATTGCCATTTTAAAAAGAACAGTTTATAAAACACTATCTTAAATGTTAATAGCCCTTTTCAGTTAGCATGGTAGTATGAGACAGAGGTGAGTGGGAGTGAATTAAATGCATCTTTACAAGAAGGGAAAATAACTAACAGAAATTTTAAAGATAGTTCATTGAAAATGTAACTATAAGTGCATAAGCTTCGTAATAACTATAAGAAAAACTTTCAGATGGATGCAATACCATCACAGTTTAAAGATGAATATAAACACTATAAATTATTTAATGGACCTTGTGATTAAGCACACATTTATCTTCAGTGACTGATTAGAAACTAACCAATTATTATACCATCAATTACTGTTACAAGTGCAATGAATTTTCCAATCTAACATGGTAATGGTTTACCAAGATATCCAGAATAACAGTAATTAGTAATTGCTCACTTTCTTTTTCCTCAGGTCTATAAGAAGGCAAGTTCAAATTTTAGATTTTTTATAAATTTCCTAATCAGAGTCATTTGTTCTGAAAGCTTTGATTTTTGAAGTATTGTAGTAGCTTTAAGAATGTATATACTGTAATAAATTTTATAATTATGTGATGAGAATTTTAAATAAAAAATGAACAAATACTAAATGAGATTTAGTTTTTTAAAAACAATCAACATAGCCAGAGATTTAGTTCAGTGGCATAAGCGTCTGGCAAGCACGAGGTCATGACTCCAATCCCTTGTACTCAAAACAAAAAAAACAAAACAAAACAATCAACATAGGGGGTTGGGTATTTAGCTCATTGGTGCAGTGTCTGCCTGGCAAGAGTGAGGTCTTGAGTTTGATTCCCAATACAAAAAAAAAATTCAATACAGGAGTCTATATTTATTTCAACAGTGCTACTTACTATGTGCCTCAAATCTTTTTAAGCGTTTCTTTTGGAATTCTTTCAAAGCTACTTTCTATATATATATAAAATCATTCTCATTACCACATAGTCACATTTTACTTTGGGTAAACCCTAAACCAATATTCATGTTTCAATTTCATGTGACTTTGGCAGAGTCTTGGCTCTAAAGAATTTTTTGGTCGTCCCTGGATATCTCAAAATAAATGAAACTGGAATTAATTTGGCAAACTCTAAAGGATATGCCAGTAAGGCATTCCGGGTATCACTGCTGACACATACAGAAGTCCTCCTGTAGCAAGACCAGTGTCTGTTTGGATAACGAATTCATAACCTTTATTTGAAAAATATAAAAGCTGTATCTGTATTTTTAAAAATTTAATAGTGGTCTATATGTAGTCAAATCTCCAGCAAGTGGCGGTGGTTTCCATTTTCCTATTTCCAGTGACTAGAGCACTTGGTATAAGCCAGAAAATGTTTCTATTCTACAAACATAAGCATTGTTAGTATTTTCATTTTAAAGATGAGGCAAGTAACTGGTGCAAGTCTCACAAAGAATAAGTGGAGAATGGGAATCTGTACCCCGGTAGTTTGATCCAGAGCCGTGCTTTCTTTCTCTACGTGCTCACTGTCTTATAACCAATAAACACTCTACCATGCTGAGGGAAGATGGATGTCACTTCCAAAAGAACCACTCAGTGGTTACTGTCCGCTCTTCTGAACCCAAACTTAACACTAGTAACTTTTGAGTTCTACCCAAAATCTTCAGGCAAGGAAAGGAAAAGCAAACAAGAACAAAAATTCATGCACATAAAGCAGGAAATGTTTTTATACAATAAAGTTGAAATAAGACCTTTTTTCTTTTTGCTAATAGTAAAAAATATATACCAATGTCAATACACCACTGGTAGGAATGCATATTATTTCTTTACAAATTTCTGCATTTCTAAGTTTTTTTCTGTCATAATTATACAGACATATTTTTCTAAAAATGACTGGATTCCAATAACAGAAATCTTGCCATAGAAAATATTAAATTTTTGAATATTTAAAGAACATTAGTATGTTCTAAATTTTCAATTCTTGAGATCTGGGATATACATCTTGTTCATGTGAGGAGCCCTAAGTAACTTTTAAATTTTTGGCAAAAGACACCTTCTAGTTCTTGATGTCTTCTTCACTAAGGTATCTTTTTATATCCTTGATCCTAGAAATGGGTATCTAAAACAAAAAATGTCATTTCCCAAAATATTTAAATAAAAACGACTTCAGTAAATAATTCAAAATTTTAATTTTCCGATATTTACACAATGAGAAATAATCTAAAGGTAAGGGGCTATAATAAAAGTAATATTTTACTAGAAATATCTGCTAAGTTTCACATTAATATACCTTTATAAACAACAGATTCATGTCATCTCTGGCATCTGTTACATAAATAATCATAACATTTTCTTCTTCTTTTGGACAATAAAAATTCTTTCGTGTTAGAAGAAGTATTTTCCCTATGGGAAAGAGTATTTCTGGGACAGAAATGCATTTAAAAAACATAACTTTTAAAGAAGAGGAAACAGGCGTTAACACTAACTGAACACTTAAAATTGAGGTAATTAGGTGCCTTGCATGTGTTAAATATTTTATTAGAAAAAATAAAAATCAGATATAAATACCTGCTGCTCCAGACTCTTGACTGTAACTAATGGATGAAGAGCGTATAGTTCTCAGACGTAAGCTCTGGGCTCTCTCTTGTCGAGCAGCATCACACGTCTGGTTGGGGTGCCAAATCTGCTTACAGTGATAGCAAAACTCTGTCCCACAGCCTTCTCGCCCACAAGTTAATTTTGGACAACTGGCACATCCAAATGCTATCACAGCGTATCTTTAAAGAATAAAAAGTAAGATTTAAAACGTGACATAACGCAAGAGCTATTAAGTAAAAATATCTGACTAAAATATTGCTCTTGGAAAACTTTCTACTTATGCATTAGCAAACAGTTATAAACCCTGACACCATCTTACCAAAATATAAGTGTGTGTGTGTGTGTGTGTGTGTGTGTGTGTGTGTGTAGCAGTAGTGGTAGTGACGGTAGCACTGGGTTTTCTACCCAAGGCCTTCAGTTTAATGATATCCATAGCACCTTGTTTATTTTGAGACACAGTGTTGTTAATCTGCTAAATTACCAAAGCTGGTTTGAATTTTCGATCTCCCTGCCCCAGCTTCCTGAGCACTGGGATTACAGGAGTGCACTACCACACCTGGCTGATTTTATTTTAATGAAACAATTTTATTTAATCAAAAATTTGTATACCACACAAGGCAGAAACTTAAAATGTAAGATTCAATAGACTCCAGCATATTGACAGAGTTGATTAATTTTTAACTTCCAACATTTAATTTTTAGGTAGGACACTAAACTATATTTTACAAAAAACGTATTAAATTAGTACTGCATATATACAGAAAAGACTAGAAATAAATACACAAAAAATCTTAACAGTGGCATTGGGATTTAAAATTTTCTATTTTATATAGTTCTGATTTCCTGTAATTACTTCTTTTAAAATCAGAAAAATTAGAAAAAATTAATCATTTAAAACGAGAATGAATCAGCTATACTTCTCAGTTAATGGCATACTGTGCTAATTTACAAGTTCTGTAAATTTAATTTATGCATAAATTCTCACACTGTTCTAAGCTGCTGATAAAAAAAACGGTTTTTGGTGCCAATATCACCTTCTTACCAAAAAGAACAAAAATTATTAGTTTTCGGATTAGGCACTGTTGCACATGCCTACAGTAGTACTTAGGAAGCTGAGGCAGGAAGATGGGAAAATTCAAAAGGAGTCTGGGTAACTTAGTAACTTAGCCCAGACCTTATCTCAGAACAAAAGATTTAATAATGGGCCAAGGATGCTGCTCCAAGTGAAGGCCATGGGTTCAATCCCTAGTAACACAAGCAAACAAAATAGTATTAGTTTAAATGCTTCTGCTTTAGATGAAAGACCAAAGCCAGCAGTTTTGTGACTAACTCTAATACCTACTGTAAAACTTTTTCACTTGAAATAAGTTCTGGGAAATCCTGGTATTTATCCCAGAGAAATGAACATTTTTGTACAGGAATGTTCATAACAATTTTATTCAGTCGCCAAAAAACAGAAAGGGCTCAGATGTCATTCAAAGAATAAATGGTTATTAACCAAACTTTGGTGCATACATATGCACACAAATGCATACATATGGACTACTCAGTAAAAAAATCAATTACTGACACAGCTAACAACTTGCATGAAGCTCTGGAAAATTATGCTGAGTGAAAAAAGTAAACCTCAAAAAGTTACAAACTATATGCTTCTATTTATATTAACATTTTTGAAATGACAAAATTTTAGAAATAGAAAATAGATTACTGGCTGCCAGGGGCTAGGGAAAGGAGAGACTGGAAGAGAGGTGGGTGTTCTTATAAAAATGCCATCAAGGATATCTGTCATGATGGAGCTGCTCAGCACCTTAGCTATGATGCGGGCTATGCAAACCTACACGTGTTACAACGTTATATAATTAAGTACTTCTAAGAACAAGTAAAACTGGGGATATTTACCTAAAATTAGTAGACTGTATATATCTAATGCCAATACCCTTGTATAAGTGATAATTACATCGTGATAGTATACAGGGTATACAGGATCTCTGTATTACTTTTCTTAACTACATGTGTGCCAGAATTACCTCAGTGAAATGTTCAATTAGGAAATTTCTAGGGGTTTCTAGTTCTCTTTGAAGACAGCAACAAACAAATCCTCTCTATATTCAAGAGGGTTTTGTATGCAACACAAATTTCCTTTAGCCTAGAAATTTTGGGTAGTTTTCAGCGTTCCTCTTAACACCAGCAATAAAATTTAAGTAATAACTTTAGATGAGATTTTACCAAATATCAAGATAATCTGTAAAATTTTAAGAAGCAGGAAGTTCCTTAATTTTTAGAACTGCTGCTTCCTTAAGTACCTTTCACCTTTAAAATTTAAACTTTGTATCTTAAATTTTATTTTATTTCTGATGGTTAAATCCTCTAATTACCACTTTGTATCACAGATGTATTTAAGCAGTATTGATGCAGAAGCAATTTAAATAAACACAGGGTAATTTAACAAATCTTCATTTTCCTGAACCTTAAGACAGCTTATTCACTATAAGCCCACAAAAGACACTGCACTCGATTTTCTATTAGTTATGACACAATTAGTAACTATGACAAAGTCTGTATGAAACAGTAATTTCAGTGAAAAGGAAGTGGCATTTTCTTCTAAATCTCTGTTTACTGAAGGAAAGAGGGAGAAAACAGAGAAACCAAGAGAATGCAAAGGACAGTGTGAATGAAGGGAACAGTGCCAAGACCAACAATTTTTCTTAAGTCAGTCATCATTTATAATGCCCAAAGAATTAGGCAATTGATGCAAATTACATTTTTACCACTTACTACTCATGCAACTTTAATGTAAGCTGTAATCATCTTCCCACACATAAGTTTTCTCATACATAAAAAGGGATATACTGAACTTTAGACTTAGTATTCGGCCTAAATCATGAGCTTTGGCCTTGGCCTTGAGAAGTCTATATGAACAAGTAAGCACCTCAGTTACAGTGCTAGTATACTTATACAGTGCTAGTGCTTCACTGAAGACCATATGACCATACAATTTACTATCATTTCTGTAACAGTAATATACGCCATTTGAATCGAATTATTAGTGTCTGAGAACTCACGGAAAAATAAATATGAAAGGTTCTTGCCCTAGTATAAATTCCTGTACAGCGATGGCAGTGGTCTAACCTGGCGAAGGCCAGAGCGGGACGCCAACCACTGCCGGCTTCTTCCTCAGCCCTAATTGCAGCTCCGCTTCCTGTTTGCCGCACAGAGAATCCTCACACGTCATCAGTATCCGCCCATGCGCCACTTCCCATCAGGGGTCAGCACATAACCCTCTGCCTCTCTGTATCTGGTGGAAGGAGGCAGCTGGGCAGCCTTGGGTTGTGTGCTCCTTTCCACGTCCTCAGCTCAATAAACCTGCTCACTTTGTACTTTTTGCTTCACTACTGCTCCAGAAAACTCTTAACAAAACACTGGTAAGTACTCTTAGTCATAACAGAAATCTTTCATGTGGTGAAATTTTACTTAAGAATTGAAGTAAAGTGCTATAATCTTTAATGACAGTTGGGAAAGCCAAATTTAACTAGATTTTATTTTCAAATAGTTACAAAGAGAAATAAATTTACAGTTAACACCCAAGAGTGGCTTAACTAGATAAATTTAGGAATACAACCCTTTTGAGCAAATAAATACTTATAAAAATATGACACAGACTTTAAAAAGCAGGATGTCAACTCTGCCCTTTTGAGATCTCATGACAAGGTTAAGTTTCAAAATCCAGAACACCATCAAGTATGAAAACATTAGGGGTATAGGAAGAAAGCTGATGACCTAAACACACTTTCTTCTCAACAATCAAACTTCAGAACAACTCCATAAATTTCTTTATGATGATTTTCTTATTGTTTTGACTCTAGAAACAAGCTTACTGAAAATGACTTATAGATGAACAAGAACATTATCCAAATTTATTCTGGTATTTTCTTCCAGTATTTTTTCTATAAAATATATTATAAAACTTGATCTTATTTGCGTATCTTATAAGTAAAATATTAAAATGAAGTTATGTGTAATTTTTAATATGCATAGATAAAATACTTATGTAGAATTGTTAAAATAGGCAGTATAATAAGTGAATCAAGTTGGGCACGGTGGGACACACTCGTAATCCTAGCACACAGGAGGCTGAGGCAGGACTGAAAGAAGTTTGAGGCCAGCCTAAACTATGTAGCAAGACCCTGTCTCAAAAAAAAAAAAAAAATCTATTATCTCTATATACAGATATATCTCCATATACAGGTATCTATCTCAGAAGCAAGTAACTGACAGTGTACAGAAATTACCGTTTCTATATTATGCCAAATTTGCACTTACTATTTGATCACTAAGTTTTAAAAATAAAATTTGTATTTTTTCCTGGTATCTCAGAAGTTGATCATACTATAATGGTGATACTTGATTTTGGCCTCTGAAGAATACTGAGTTGTCAAAGTGTGGCCTGGAGGAAGTAAGAAAAGTACCAGAAATACCAAAATTAATTATCTATTTAAAGGGAAAGGTTAAGTTTTACATTAAAATAAAGAGGCTCATGTTTCCACTTTCCAAAAGTTATGATCATTGCAACAGAAAAGCAGTAACTTACTTCACTGATGCACTTCTGAAAAGGTCTAGACCAGGGATGGTGTGTAGCACCTCTTAAGAGCCGAGTGCGTACCCAAACTGAACCCAAAACTCACTTATTTATTCCAAGTGCTAATGCTGCAATTAAACTTGAATACTGAGGTTTTTGTTTAGAAAAACTTACATATTAATATTGATTGTCTTAGAAAGAAATAACAATGCCATAGGTTCCCCACTACTGAGGCATATCTCCTGGTTCCTTTTTTTAAGATCTGCATCTTTCAGAGAGATGCATTCTATTCTACTTACCACTGCATGCTCTGGAGAAGGCTATAGCTGTTCAGAACTGCCCCAGACTGACTTTAGAAGTCTTTAATTTAGGTATGAATCATTATTAGCATTCTGGCTATATCTAAAGTTGCCTTCTTTAGTCAACTAATTGGTCCTGTGTCTTGTATTTTAACCTGATACTGGAAGAGGGTTGTGAGAAAGAAATGTTATTTTTTATTAATAAAACTCTACCAAAAATTTTAATATCAATTAACAATGTTTGGTGCAAGAGTTATATATACTGAATTACTTGGTGTTAAGATATACCTTTGGGTCAGTTTTA